GAAGTCCCTCCTGGCGGCGGAGAAGAGCATCGTCACTGTAGGAGCCTCTCGTGGTGACCCTCGCACCCCCATCTTTGAGGGGTGTTCTCCTTCCCCCCTGCTGCCCTCTGTTGCCTCTGCTGCTGCTGCCGACCTGCTTGGTCTTGAGTCGGTCTGCGCGGCGTCTGCCCCTAGCGGGAGACGCCGCCCTGGCAGGGGCAAGGGGGGCAAGGGCGCGGGTGGAACTGGCGGGGGCGGTGGAGGTGGCGGTGGAGGCGGCGGAGGGAGTGGGGGTGGCGGTGGGAGTGGTGGCGGGGGCGGTGGTGACGGTGGCAGCAGCGGAGGAGGAGGCGGTGGTGGCGGCAGCGATGGGAGCGGAGGCAGCGGTGGTGGTGGAGGTGGAGGCGGCGGTGGCGGAGGGGGTGGAGCTGGTCGGGGTGGTGCCCCGCAGCGTAGCGGCTCTGGTGGTGGCCAGCGTCAGCAGCAGCAGCAGCAGCAGCGTTCGCGGGACATCCCCCCGCCCCAGCAGCTCCGTGAGTGGTACACGCAGCGTCAGCGGGGTGGGGGTTTTGGTCCGTGCACCTACGTCCTTCGTTCCGGCGACCGCGCGGGTGGGGGTGGTATCGCCTGCAACTGTCCTGCCGACCGCTGCCTTGATGACTTCATGAGCTGGCAAGTGGGACACGATGCCACGTGTCGCTGTACGTCGGTCAACATTTCGGGCCAGTAATAATACCGCTGCAGCTGCAGCCGTGTTTTTACTACTCCGAAATGCCCCGAGGTAACTCCGTCGTGTGCCTCCTGTAACAGTAATTCCCGTAGCAGTGTATACCCGGGCACCCAAATGCGGTCAGTCCCGGCTTTTACGTAATAGACTCCCCTTGCTGCTGCGAACTGTTGCGAATTTCCTCCTGTGAAGAATGGATCCGTTTGGTACCCGTGGGTAAATAGGCCTGTCAGTAGTGGACTGGTCTGGGCGAGTAGTATTGCGTGGATCTGGGCAGTGGGGCGGGTCAGTGCGTCGGCGATGTTCGAGGCTCCTTTTTTGTAAGTGACCGTGTAGTGAAAGTTGGACTCAAGAAAATCGAGCCAACGAATTTGTCGTGGGTTGAGGTGTGGCTGTGCGCGAAGGTACTGTAGTGATTTATGGTCTGTCCGTACTGTCACGTCTGCGCCGTCCAAGTAACAGTGCCATACTTTGAACGCGCGCACGATCGCAAGCATATCGCGGTCGTGTATCGGGTAATTTTTCTCGGGCGGATGCAGTTTTCGTGACTCGTATGCGATGGGCTGTAGGCCGTTGCCGAAGTCCTGTAGCAGTACGGCTCCGATGGCGATGTCACTTGCGTCGGTAACTACTTCGAATGGGCGGTGTGGGTCGGCGATGCGCAGGACGGGCGGTGAACAGATAACATTTTTCAGGGCAGAGAAGGCACCATGCTCTTTCTCCCCCCACGTAAAAGCGACCCCCTTCCTCAGTAAATCCGTCAGTGGGGCAGTTAACCGTGCCATATCGGGGACGAACCGACGCACATAATTAACGAACCCTAAAAAGCTCTGCACCTCCGTGATGTTCGTCGGGGGATGCCACGCTTTTACTGTATCCAGCTTCTTTGGGTCGATTTCAACTCCAGCCTCCGAAATAACGTGCCCTAAAAATTCTAACCTATCCTGTAAGAACTCGCACTTGGAACCCTTGGTCAGTAATCAGTGCTCGTCTAAAAAATTAAATACTGCTTCCAGATCTGCTAAGTGCTGCTGCTTATCCCGACTGTACACTAGGATGTCGTCGAGGTAAACTATCACACATTTATCTAAGAGCGGCCTAAACGCCTCGTTCATGGTCATCTGAAAAGTCGCCGATGCGTTGGTCAGCCCGAATGGCATCACAGTGTACTCAAACGACCCGTACCTGGTCCTGAAAGCTATTTTGGCGCAGTCCGATGGTTCGACCCTAATCTGATGGTAACCTCCCCGTAAATCTATTTTCGAAAAAACCCGTGCTGTTCGCAGTTGGTCGATCAGTTCGTCGGCGCGGGGAATGGGGTACCGCGACTTGACTGTTACCCTGTTCAGTGCTCTGTAGTCGATACACATGCGAAAACCCCCGTCTTTTTTCGGTGTAAACAGTATCGGTGCGGCGAACGGTGACGAGCTCGGTCAGATGAATTTTTTCTCTAACAGGTAACCTAACTGCTTCCTCAGTTCGTCGAGCTCGGGCTGTGTCAGTCTGAACTGGCGCTGTACAGTTGGCTGTGCCCCCGGTTCTAATTCTATTCGGTGGTCATGTACTCGCTGAGGTGGCAGTCCTTCCGGTAAGTCGTCAGGAAAAATCCCGGGGTATCGTTTCAACAGTTCCTGTAATTCGGGCGGTACTACTGCTAACAGTTTATGAAAAACGCTCGGCTGCTCTGCTTCTTCTACTACGACAATGTCCACTGCGTACACGTCAGCTCAAGCGGCGACTGCCCGTTTCATCGTGATGGCGTTGACGTGGACCGTTGAAGACTTAGGCGACTGCCAGCGGGGTAGTGCGATCCAGTTACCACTACTTCGCACAGTGCAGCTTCCTGTCGTCCAGTCAATTCTCGGGTTGTATCGTCGCACCCAATCACGTCCCAGTAAAATGTCGTGCCCATCCAGTGTCATCGCGAGCATTTCATGTGTAAACCCGAAGTTTCCCCCGCAGCGAACTTTTACTCTTTCCACCTTCTCCCGTATGGACAGCGGTGTGCCGTCAACTAAGCGTGCGTCGATCTCTGGTAAGCACCGGCTGAGTGTCAGTTGCAGTTTCCGTGCGGTTGCGGTATTAACTAAACTATGGCTTGCTCCTCCGTCAATAAAAATCTTCACTGCTCCTCCTTGTATTTTCTCGTGGATCAGTACTGGGCAATCCGTCGCTTTACCCTCCTTATTCATCCGAGCCCGATCGATGGCGTCAATTGGTACTGTGACTCGGTGAGGGTCCGTGCGGTTGGGCGAGCAGGCAGTCTCGTCAGTAGTTGGCCCGAGTCCTACTGACTGCTGGCGTTTCCCTGCCTCTGAGACTCCTTCCCCTGCTCTGCTCCGCGGCGCCTCAGCTCCTCTGGGCATTCGCTCTTGCGATGGCCCGGCCTATTGCAAGCAAAGCAGCGCCCCTTAAACGGTACGGCAGCTGCATTCGTCGCAACGGCGTGTACGGTGGCGTGCTCGCTCGGTCCCCGAGGACGATGTCCGTAGTAGGACCCCGGTCTCGGACGGCGTAAAATGTCGATTTTCTCGGCGAGCGCGAGAATCTCGTTGAAGTTCGAGAGCCCGCGTACCATAATTTCGTGCGAGATGTCCGGCTTCAGCCCTCCGACGTAACAGTCCACCCGCTCCGCTTCGTGCATGTAGCCGACTTGCTCGCATAATGCGAGAAAACCACTCGTATAGTCTTGAACCGATCCGAGCTGCCACCAAGTACGTAGTCTCTGACGCGCCGAAATAGAAGCCGCGATTGGCTCGAAGCGCGCCCGAAGCCCTGCGCACCACGCATCCCACGTGCTGTACTGGACGGTCTCGCAGAACGAACTCCAGGTGACAGCTGGACCCGTGGGCCCTTCCTCTTGCGACGGTGGCTCGTAGGCGCGTGGCGACGTCACGATGACTCGCCACCAGTCCATGGCGGGGCCCCTCAGCAGCGAAACGGCATACCGAACCTTCGCTGCGTCCGACTCGACGTAATTCGCGTCGAAGAAGACGTTCATCGTGAAGACCCACGATTGAACCGTCGGACCTCCACGTTGGCTTGGGTCGAAGCAGGGCGGGCGTTGCGGCTTGAGTGACATTGGTGCCATGATGGCCTGTTCGCCACTTGTCGCCGCAAACTCCACGTGCCGACGGGCTTCACGAGGCTCCCGCGGGCTTGGTGCGACCATGTTCCCTCCCATGCCAGGCATCGGCTGGGCAACGCCATCACTGGCTGCGCCTGAGCGCTGTCCCATGCTGTCGTGTTGTGTTGGTGTGCCGGACGAAATGACGATCGGTTCGTCCGATTGTGCAGATGCATTGGTTGGTGCGTGTGGTGGCGCGGGAGTGTTCATCGTTGATTGCTGACGCGCGGAGTCACGTTCCGCCGTGGGCGTCGCAATTTCGAGCGCCGAATCTTCAAGTTGGCGCACCAGACGGTCGAGCTGCTCCTGCGTCAATGTTGCGAGCGTGAATTCGGCCATGGCGGGGGTGTCGGGCGAGCTCAGCGAGAGCCTCTGTCGTGGCCGTGCGTGCTTACGAGAGAGCACTACGAGCGGCGGTGATGTGTCGCTGAGAGACGTCTACCCCCCCCAAAAATTGAGATAGGAGGAAGCGAAGGTGTGGGTGCGGTCCGAGAAGAGATCGTAGGCTCTGAATACCAAGTGTTACGAGTGCAATTGAGTGAGCGAACGAGAATTGCACTATCGAGGCAAAAGTACAAATGAGCGAAGGCATGAGCGAAGAATATATAGCGAAACTACAGTGGTAACGGTAATGGACTGTGGTTGTCGCGTGACGGGCCTGGGACTGAGGTTGGGAAAAGTGTCGAAGCGGAGGCCCGGAGCGCGGGTTACCCGCCGAGCCGTGAGGTCGGGGTGCGACATGCGAAGGTGGCGGGAGGATTGTCGATGCGAGAGTTGCGAGTGGTAACAGTGCTGACTGTGGTGCTACAGTGATGTCCGCGCTGAGCGGGGACGCGAAGTAAGGAAAAGGATTTTTCCTTACCGTACATCCACAGTCAGTAAACAGCGCACCGTTAGGGCACTACCTTACCAGTGAGTAACTGAAGATAAGCGAGTGGTGGACAATACCCATTCAGGTTATTCTCTGAGCTCTTTTGATTCTGGAATTTGGATATCAACATACAACATACCAGTATCACTCACCACTCACACAATGACATTACAAATCAATGCCAATAAACATCCCAACAAGCTTCATACAGCGTCCTACAGCTGTCTCTGCAATCCTAACTCCTGATGCCGTCCGTACGTTTTAGCAAGTAACAACCAATTGCGATCTGCCATGTTTCACTTGCTGAAAAGATTTTTGATGCCCGAAAAAACAGTCCTGCAAGAGAGATTCATAAGACACACAGACGATCAAGGGAGGGCCCCGATTGGGAGGGAGAAAAACAAAAACAGCCAGAGGAGAAACAATGGTGAGAGATAGTGCAAGAGACAGGCAGAGGAAGGCAAAGGCATGCTTACTAGGTCAGTTCACTGTGTTCGGTATGTATATGAGCTGATAGGAAACTCAAGGACTCAACCGAAAGCGGCCCTTCAACCATGCCCAGGCAGTTCTTGCCCCTGCTGCTGCAATAGCCATGCTCAGAGCTAACACTATAGCCAGCAGTGCTGCGCTTGCCACATGGCGCCATGTGATTGGGGTGGCAGGGGAAACGAATGGCTGGATGGTCTCCTCTGTAAATCTCCTGGCCTCTGATTGGATGGTTTGGATCACCCGTTTGGCCCCTCTGCAGGACCAACCAGAGCAACCAATGAGCGCATGCCATGTGTGTGCAGTGCAGGTGGGAAATTTCAAAGTTCATGGTTAAGAGGTTCTGGCCTTGGAGTCAACTCAAACGCACTTCATGGTTGGTGGTGCTGGCTTCAAGTTGACTGCAAAGTCAGCTCATGGGTGGAAGCTGCTCGCACGACAGAAAGGCTCTGCCTCGTTCTCAAGCGGCTGTAGTTTCAGGGCCAAGGAGCAACACCAGGGGTAGACGACTCAAGGGTAGAGGTCTACAAGGGGCGAGGCGAGGGACAGACGGGCTGAAGTAAGGGTAGAGGGGCAGAGGGGCTCACTTGACGGTGTCGACGATGCCCTCCCCATCCACGCCCGAACTGGAGGAGGAACCCCGCGGCCCTGAGGGGGGAGACACAGGGCGGAGATGGCAGAGCAAGCGGCTTGAGCAGAGTCACTTCACAGGGGAAAGGAAGGAAGAGGAGAGAGGGAGAAAGGGGAGATGAGAGAAGAGAAAGGGGTGAGGGAGGGTTGAGAGGGGGGCTCGAGAGGGGAGAGAAAGGAGAGCAACCGAGGGACGAGCGAAAATCCCGGTGCGATTACCCTCCACATGCATGCACACAGACACAGCCACAAACACAGGAAGCAAGAAAGAAGGCAAGCAAGCAGGGAGGCGAAAAGACACCAAGCAGGCCAGCACACTCACTGGCGCCCTCCACGGTGATCCCCGTGCGTGTCTTGCCCGTCTTGTGAATCGACGCCAGCTCCTCCACCAGATCCCGCTCCGTGGGGCTGCTCGTGGCACGCGACACAAGCGGGACGTGCAGGGGGCAGGGGGAAAGAGGAGGGAGGAGCGGAGAATGGTGAAGAGGTATTCCCCTTGACTGGGTCTTGCTCTGTGGGACAGGCAGGACCCCAGGCATGCAAGGTGGCCTGCAGGTTTTGGGGCAGGGTGTGGGGCAGGTTGGAGTGCAGATTGGTGGGCAGGTTGGAGGGCAGGTTGAGGGGCAGGTTCGCAGGCAGGTTGTGGGGCAGGTTGGGGGGCAGGGTTGGAAGACGGAGTAGTGCTGTGGAACAAAGGTGGCGAGGTGGCAGCTCGATTAATTATAAGCACCTGACTCGTTTAGGAATGGAGACGTTGACTTGGAAGAAGTGGTCACCGCGAATGTTGCTCTTGCCCACCTTGGGCACGCCCTTGCGCTCCAACACTAGCGTATCCCCTGGCTGTGTGCCTGCTGGCACTCTCAGCTCTGCTGCACCGTCAACCGTAGCCACCTGAAGGGGTGAAGTGGGATGTGGTAGTAGTGCAAAGATCAAGAAGGTGAGAGAGAGAGATCGTGGCAGCCGTGGCAGCAGCAGCACCTTGGGCACGACCTTACACTCCAATACCAGCGTGTCCCCTGGCTGGGTTCCCGCTGGCACTCTCAGCTCCGCTGCCCCGTCCACTGTCGCGACCTGTGGAGAAAGAGATACGTGGGATGGTGAGAGTGGGGGAATTAGAGGGCAAGGGATTACGGCAGCAGTGGCAGCAGCAGCAGCAGCACCCACCTTGGTCAAAGCATCCAACTGTTCAGGACACCTACCCTGGCGACAGTCCCAAGGATGGCGCCACTGTAGTCAATTCTGACGTTGGAGTAGAGGTTGATGCCGTCCCTGCGAATGCCCCTCTGCTGCTGCTGACGTCGATGGCTCTCTCGCACATTAGCCACAGCACCCACCCTGGTCAATGCACCCACCTTGGCGACAGTGCCCAGAATGGCGTCGGTATAGTCGATGCTGACGTTCGAGTAGAGGTTGATTCCGTCCCTGCGAATGCCCCTCTGCTGCTGCTTGCAACAACCGCCTGACAGCTCTCGTGCACATTAGCAACAGCACTTACCTTGGCCACTGCACCCGCTCTGGTCAATGCACCCACCTTAGCGACAGTGCCCAGAATGGCGTCGGTATAGTCGATGCTGACGTTCGAGTAGAGGTTGATTCCGTCCCTGCGAATGCCCCTCTGCTGCTGCTTGCAACAACCGCCTGACAGCTCTCGTGCACATTAGCAACAGCACTTACCTTGGCCACTGCACCCACTCTGGTCAATGCACCCACCTTGGCGACAGTGCCCAGAATGGCGTCAGTGTAGTCGATGCTGACGTTGGAGTAGAGGTTGATGCCGTCCCTGCGAATGCCCATTGTCTCCTTCACCTTCACAAACACGTACAGGTCGCCCCTCTTGCCCCTGGTGGTGAAGAGACGAAGAAGGAGAATACGGGAAGGAAAGAAAGGGAAGGAGAAAGGAGGATGAGGCCGCGGTTACGGGAAAAAAGAAACAGAGGGAAAAGAAAATTCAATCAGCTTCACAAGCAAGTGCAGGTCGCCCCGTTTGCTATGATGGGAAGTGGTGGTGAGAAATGAGGGAGACAGGAACGAGCATGAAATCCGAGGGGGAAGGAAAGGAGGAAGGGAACGGAAAGTGACCTTTCCATATTCATGAGCACAAGCAGCGTCGCCCTCCCCTTTGACGGGCAGCACTGTGCCCGAGTCCACCCCAGCAGGCACGTTGATCACCACTGGCTTGCACGGTTGTTGCGCTACTGGTGATGGTGGTGTCATGCTGGTAGTGCTGGCGCTGCTGCTGGTGGTGGTGCTGCTGGTATGGTGGTGGTGATGCTAATGCATGCATACACTGAACAGTCCATACAAGCCACGCACTCACCCGCGCATGCCAGCGTCGCCCTCCCCTTTGACGCGCAGCACCGTCCCCGAGTCCACCCCTGCAGGCACGTTGATCACCACTGGCTTGCGCGTCCGCACGCGCCCCTCGCCCCCGCACTTGCGGCAGAACTCAGATATCACCTCCCCCACTCCTGCACACGTCGAGCACGTGGACACCTGCAACCAAGGAAACAGGGGCGGGAATTCGGGGCACACAAAGTAAAGAAAAAGAATCAGGAATCAGCTTCCCAAAGTTGGGATACCTGCGTTGAACCTTTATCTTCCAACACCATATAAACGCATTTCCACGCTCACACACCCCGTGACAACACAACCAAAACTTTCTCACCGTCTACCTGACCTGCCCATTGTTCAACATTGAACTCGGGATATTCCACACTAACTCTAAAACGCACCGAGGAGAACATCCCAAAAGCTGTCTGCGGCGTCTGCATGACCTGCCCCACGCCCCGGCACGTGGGGCACGTGCGGGGGGACGTGCCCGCCTAGGCGCCCGACCCCCCACACTCACTGCACCCGTCTAGGCGCGCCACGTTGATGGTCTCCCACTCCGCTCAACCGCATCCCACACACTCACACACCGATGACACTCACACACCCATGACAACACGCCCCATGGGGTTTCGCCGTCTTCTTGACCTGCCCTGTGCCCCAGAGACACCTGATCACTCCACACCATTGACACGCACCGAGGAGAACATCCCAAAGGCCGTTTGCCGCGTCTGCATGACCTGCCCCATGCCCCGGCATGTGGGGCACGTGCGGGGGGACGTGCCCGCCTTGGCGCCCGACCCCCCGCACTCGTTGCAGCCGTCCAGGTGCGCCACGTTGATGGTCTTCTCCGCGCCGAATATCACCTCGCGGAACTCCAGCGGCATCTCCATTCTGATGGGTGCGAATGGGTAGGAGTGGGCGGGGATGGGCGGAAATGGGCGGGGATGGGCGGGGATGGTAAGGTTGGGCGAGGATGATCAGGGGTGGGCGGGAGCGGGGAGGAATGGGTGGGATGAACTCCCTTGTCCTTCGTCAGTCTCTCACTGCCTTCTCTCTCTCCGTACTTCTCTATCTAGCCACCCCACCCTGCGCCACTCACTTGACATCGTCGCCGGGAACAGGTTGTCGCGTCCGCGGGCCAGCGCCGCCCATGCCGCCCATGCCGCCCATTCCGCCCATGCCTCCCCGCGCGGCAGCGCCCATACCGGGCCCGAATATGGACTCGAACAGGTCGAACGGGTTGGACTGCATGGCCACAGACAGAGGTAGAGCCAGAACAGATGAAGAGAAGTTCACGTGTCGATAACGGGTAAGTCAGATGGGTACGTGTCGTTATTAGGCAGGTTTGACTGATTGGCTTAGAGCCTGTCCTGTATGCTGATTGGCGCGGATCGGTGTGCACAGAAAAAATCGGAAAAACATCCATCCTCCTGCCAAGCTTTCGTTCCGTTCCGTAAGCGCATTTTGAATAGGTGCATATTGAGCGCATGTTTCTGATTATTAGAACCCACCTCTCTCACCTAACACCTCACTGCATCCCATACTCACCGTGTAAGCTCCCGCTCCTCCCATGCCACCAGACCCAGACACGCCCGCCTCCCCAAACCGGTCGTATAGCGGCCGCTTCTCATCGTCCGAAAGAACCTGGCAAGACGGAGAATGGCCGCAAGAAGCGTGGCAAGATACGTGAAGATCTAGAAGACGAAAAACGGGAAGAACAAGAGAGAGTTTCTCGTCGACAAAAGTCCCGTGCTGCTCATAACGTAGAAAGTCACATCCAAAAGGAGACGTGTGACGAAGGGACATGTGGTTGGCAGTGGTTGGCAGTGGTTACCTCGTACGCGGTACTGATCTCCTTGAACTTGTCCTCCGCTCCGGGATCCTTGTTCACGTCCGGATGGAACTGCACGTGGTTCGAACAGGATATACCTCGTGAGTGCCAAGGTTCTGCGAACAGGATATACTTCGCAGCAGCGGTGACAAAGGGCTCTTCGCGTACCTGCCGAGCGAGTCTTCGGTACGCGCTCTTGATGTCTTGCTTCGACGCGTTCTTGGGAACTCCTAGCGTGGTGTAATAATCCGCAGCTGCCTTGACCGTTAGTCTTGCACCTCGTGATCCCGAGTCACGCGAACTCGATACCCTACATCTGAGCAGCGCTGTTTGTCCTGGTCGGAAAAACTCGTCTCTAGACGAAAATGCGAAGCTAGATGGCGTGAAGGACGAGTTTCTGGTTCCGGTGGATGACTGAAGTTGGCCGGTAGCTGCTAGCCTAACTGACGCTGACGGAATCTGACAAGCAGCCATGGTCGCTCCTTGGCACAAACCCAACGACATCGCCTTCGGCTGCTGTTTGCACGAACCTAACTGGCCAGAAGCACCAACAATGGACAACGAGGATTGACTACGGAATCACTGGGACACTACCTAGAGATACAAGGTTGTTCAAGCAAGATGCCTTCAAAGGTGAATGTGAGAAGCATAGATAATGCCTGATGCTGCGGGAAACCCGAGAATTCGGGAGTTATCCATGGAGTGTGAAGGAGGCAATCTCGAGGCTGGTTGATCTGGCGAATTTCGCGAAAGCTTTTCAGATGGTCGAGATTCGAACTCTCACGAGGAATCGGGACTCGCTGACGCAGCAGGCATATTGGCGGGAATGTGGGACAAGCCGACGCAATTGCCTTCCCCATAAGCCAGGCCTGACTCACACGTGGCGTGCCAGGGACCTTGCACGTGGAATCCGAAACATTGCTTGGTCAGTGACACGAGTAGCGTACACGTTTTAGTCATGTTTTGCCTAAACCTCACAATTGACCATGACAGCAAACTTGTATAACAGAAGCCAGTTTCTCTTCAACAATCTAGCTCCGTTGTGCTGATCTACCAAACCTACATTCAATCATGGGGATTTATTACAGGATCTGAGCATACCATGATTTGTTAAACACGCAAATGTATGTGTATGGTCTACCAAAACGGGCATTACATTCCCCAAGCACCTCCACCAAGGTATTGTCAACGAAAGGATCAACAAGCTAGATAGCAGCACTCCCAGGAAAGGGGCCCTTCCAAGGAACAATTCCAGGGCTATCCTGTGCGCCAAAAAAGTTTGAGAAATCCTCCTCAGTAATATTGAAGGCTTCAGCACCAAGCACTGGCCTCATTGCTTTGTACACACTCTTGCTCCCTGCTCATAATAACAGATGGAAAATTTATCAAACCAATCCAGAGATGCCTGAACCAGACGAGTAGCAGCTCAGAAGGAAAAGAATGCCCTTAAAAACACAATAATTTGCTTATTACCTGCAAGAAATTTGATGGATGGATGATAAGAACCGATTCGAATGCCGAGAATCTGCACGCCCTGTTCTCCCGCCTGCAGAGCGTGAGCATACCCCATGGGGACCACCCCCACGTGGCCTGTCTGCACGGCATCGCTGGCGGCCGTGGTGCCGTTGGGGTGCACCGATTCAAAGTGCCCAGAACCCTGCAGCACCGTGAAGACCACTGCTGCATTGCCATGGATGTGTGGTGCCACCACCGCATGCTGCAAGGGGGGAGGAGATTCAACAAGAGGGGAGGGTGAAGTAGCTGAGTTCACAAGCAGAGCCCTTGAGCACCGTGAACACAACTGCTGCATTGCTGTGAATGTGTGGCGCCACCATCAGATGCTGCAGGGGCAATGACTCAGGAGGGGGTGCGTGGAGGCAAAGAATAGGGAGAACCTTGTGGACGCAGAACTTGGAGCACCGTGAGCAGCACAACGTCAGATGTAGGAAAACTTTCAGATGTCCCAAAAGCCGTACCGGGTAGAGGGTGAGCAGCACAATCTCCCCCTCAATGCCTGCATGCCTGAGCGCCTTGAAGTCTCGGTACGACACACGGACCATGCTGCCACCCTCCGTGGCGATCGCAGGCTGCCGCGCCGCCACGTGATCCACCAGAACAGTCTTTTTCTTCTTCTTCTTCTCCTTCTCTTTCTTCCCCTTCTTATCTTTCTCCTCCTTTTTCTTCTCCTTATTCCTTTTCCTTCTCCTTTTTCTTCTCCTTCTTCTCCTTCTTCTAGCCCTTCTTCTCCTTTCTCTCCTTCTTGCCCTTCTTGCCCTCTAACCCAAGCTCCACTCCCTCAGCCAGACCCATCCTTCCCATCCCAGCAGCACCCCTACCCGTTCCTAATTCCTCCACATCCCCCGAAACATCACCCTCTGTCCCATCCTTCCCAGATTCATCCCCCTCTGCAGCAGGCTCAGGAGGCGAGGGCGGCACGCAGTGGGACACAATGATTCCTCCGCCAGAAGCTTGGTCAAGAAGCGCCCTGACGACGTCGTGCTGCTGGTTGAATGCCGTCTCCAGGATGTGCAGACTGAATCCAGACAGCACCGAGTGGGGGTTGCTGCCGGCAAGGTACGATTTCTGCAAAAGTAAGGACGGATGGAAGGGGACACAGACAATAGCTTCTCTGCCAGTAGTGAAGCCCTGACGACGTCGTGCTGGTTGAATGCCATCTCCAGGATGTGCAGACTGAATCCAGACAGCACGGAGTGGGGGTTGCTGCCTGCCAGGTACGACTTCTGCACAGGGAGGATAGTAGGGGGTTGTGGAGGAGGGGTAAATTGATGCAGTAATATGAGTTGTGCAGGAGGGGGTTGTGCAGAATGGCCAAGACACCTAGAGAGCAATCACCTGCTTGTGATGGCTGAATCGGACAGCTGTGATGATGAGCTCTGGGGATTGGTTGAGGTAGTTCCCGATGCTGTACGTCCACCCCTTGGGAACCACCACCGCATCACCGTGGTTCACAGTGATTGGTGACACGTCAGCAGGTGCCTGGCCGTTGTCATCTATCAACTCCACCACACCCGACCCTGATATTGGTTATTCAACAGCCCGGCACACAGCAGGAAAAAAAGAAAAGAATCAGGGCATAATCAGTAACAGAAAGCATGGTAAGAATCAGGAAGGGACAACAACTGTAGGAAACCCATAAACAAGCATGATAATGATAGAAGCAAGTGTCTCAAGCAACCCAAGGAAGGGAAGCTAACACGAATTACCTTGCTGAATGAACAGCAAGGACGGAGAGCCGATGGACACCCGAGGCAGCAGCAATCCGCACTGGCGAATCACAGGCCTCTCCACAGCCACGTCAGCTGCTTCTTTAAGGACGTCAAATGAGTAGGTCGCAATTTCGCCACCTCCGAGTCGCTCTGACGTTGCATGATCCAGGCCAAGCGTCCATGGTGGTTCAAGCCTGCCCTCCACACCTGTGGATGCAGATGAATACTATTGAGGAAACAAAGGCGGTAAAACAGTCTAAACGTGATACAATCTCAAAGACACGTGGCACGTGAAGGTTGTACTACTAAACGTCATGTGTCGCTTACTCTGAAGAATCAGAAAAATGGCAGACAGTACGACAGCGGCACGCGGAATCCTCATCTCTCTAGCTCAACCAGCGCAGGCAAGCAACAAACGGGAAGGGACTCTGACGAAAGCCACAGAAAACGAGACTCCAGAACGATAGGGACAGGAAGAAAATTAAGGTGCAGTGCCCCGAGTGCAGAGCAGATGCAAGCTCGGGAGCGCGATGGCTCGCGTGTCGTGCTTCGAAAGCCTCACCTCAGGCTTTCAGTTCAGCCTCCGTCCACCATGGGCTCAGCTTTCAGGCAATGGAACGAATTTCCTTGAAAAGCACGAATTAAGGGGTGTGGTGCTATCGCCACATTCCAGACTGCAGCTGACGATGAGACAGCGATGCACTAGTCTTGTTAGCGCCACGTGCCTTGATGCGCGTCGTAAATCCATAACATGCAAGCAGGACGACCTTTTCAACGAACGCATCCCAAACTTCGCTGTTGACGAGAACTCGATTTCGGCCTGTTCCAGTGTAGCGGTGTGCCAACCACAATTTCAAGGAAAAGCTTGCTCGAATGACGACTAATCCTCGCTTTAGAGTTAATTGTTCCGACTGTATCTAATATCCTGCTACAAAACAAGAGTCTGATTTGCTTTACACTTGCTTGTGGAAATGAGCAATATATTAAGAAACTAGAAAATATTATGAATGAAAGTTACAGCGCAAGAATCACTTCTTCCCCTTCTTGCCCATCCTGGGGTTCTTAAGCATGCGGACTGAAAGGGGTGTAACCTCCACGAGCTCATCCTCTTGAATGTACTCCACGCAATCATCCAAGCTGAACTCCAGGGGTGCCGCCAACACCACTGCAAGGAGAGACAACCACCAAATGAAGCGTTTCAAGCTATGCTTGATTGACACACAATCCAGCAATATGCAGTTCCACAACCCATAAAACTCTTGCAAAATTCCAACTCGTTCTTGCCCCCACTTTCCCATTCTTGCTCCCGCACACACACATGCATGCACCAAAACACACGAGCACACTCATGCAACTCAAAAACCATACCCCCCACTACCCCCCCACACAAAGTCACACGCACCTGTGGCGTCCTTGTTGGATCGCACGTTGGTGGCAGCTTTCCTCTTGCATGCGTTCAGGTCAAGGTCGCCAGGCCTCTGGTGAAGACCGATGATCTGCCCCTTGTACACCTCCACTCCCGGCCCCAGCAGCAGCTGCCCCCTCTCCTGGCAACTGAAGAGCGCATACGACGTGGTTGGGCCTGTGTCAAACGACACCTGTGAGGAAGGGAAGTAGGATGGGAGGGAGTGGTTTGAGTGATGGATAGTAGCAGCAGCAGCCAGCAGCACGAGGGTGGCCCCAGCAGCAGCTGCCCCCTCTCCTGACAGCTGAAGAGCGCATATGACGTGGTTGGACCCGTGTCAAACGACACCTGCAAGGAAAGGAAAAACACAGCGCAGGAAAGGAAGTGCACGAGGACTGGGTTAGTGCTGTGCTGAAGAGCGCATACGATGTGGTTGGGCCCGTGTCAAACGACACCTGTGCGGAAAGGATGTGGGTATGGAGGAGGGGTGGGTTGGGTTGGTGGATTCAAGAGAACAAAACACAGCACAAGAAGGCATGAGAAATCCAGACCTGATTCCTTGTATGTAGACCACAACATATGGGTGCATTCTTCTCCCAGTACTCACCAGGGAGCCCTGCTCGCGAGTGCTCATGTCCCCCGCCCACGGTCCATAGCTGTCAAAGATTGTGTTGATGACGGCCGTGCCTCGCGTGGCGGTCAGCATGGCGTTGCGCAGCCCCAGCAGGCCGCGGGTTGGCACACGGTACTTCACGGTTGTGGTGCCAGAACTGGAGGTGGTGGAGAAAGGTGGAGAGGGGTGGAGGGGGTTGGAGGGCAATAATGTTTTATGCGCCTTAAAAATACCCCATGCAGGCCGCGGGTCGGCACACGGTACTTCACGAATGTGGTGCCGGAACTGGAGGGGGTGGTGGAGAGGGGTGGAGTGCCAAGGGATAGAGAGCGCCCGACTGGGGTAGGGAAACACTGAGAATGAACATCTTTGGCTTTGAACTTCACAACTGTACGACAATGGTGATTCCAAACCAATGCATTTAGGGCGGGTCCAACAAAATACGTATTCGCGGAAAACCCTACCCAACCATCTGGAGTTCTGATTAGACCGCTCTAGATAGAGTCCTAACCTTTTTCAACCCCATTCGAACGTTCTCTTTGGACCCGCCCTTAGTTTGCTCAGCCAGAAACCAAACCACCATGACCGACCTGAAAACGGCCTCCCTGCCTTGGCGTCTCACCTGGAGGCCTGCAGGTCGAGCATTTGCCCCTTGCGTGTACCCAGCATGTCCACCACAGCCCCCACATATTCCTCTGGCACCTCCACCACCGCTTCCTGCACACATTCAGAAACGAGCACAGGGAGGCAGGCGGGCACTTAGGATGGAATGCGCGCAGCACAGAGCAACAGGGATGGCGTGTGTGTTCCCAGCATGTCCACCACGGACCCCACCCCACATACTCCTCTCCTCTGGCACCTCCACCACCGCTTCCTGCAAAGATCCAACACCGAGTGCAGCAGAGCAAGGGAGGTGGGGCATTGGTGGAGGACAGGGAGGATGTGGTAAGTGCCAACCTAAATTATGTGGCATATTCTACTGCGTCGTGCGAGCACACTGTAGCAAATGATCTGAAACCATGCTTCCTGCCTGTCGACCTTCCATGTCCACGAGTTATTTTTTCCAGAGCCTCACCCTTCCATCCTCTGAGGAGCTTTAACATCCCACTACTCTCGCCTGGCTTGACACCTCCCAGACAGACCCTCGCCTCATAAAGCTAAGCAAGCCCCCTCATGTGTTTCTACCCCTCTCCGTTGTTGAGACGCTTCACAAACTGAACCATCGCCTCCTAAGACCCCCACCCACCCCATACGACTCCTCACCCCATACGGCTCTAGCATCTTGCCGTCCTCGATCTTGTTAATGACCCGTGGTGGCCGTTACGGATTCGTAAGACCCCCACCCACCTCATACGACTCCTCCTCCTCACCTCATACGGCTCCAGCGTCTTGCCGTCCTCGATCTTGTTAATGACCCGTGGTGGCCCCACCATGAACTCGTATCCCTCCCTCCGCCTGCCCGGGCAAAGCAACAGCAAGTGATGGAAGAGGGGCACAGGTGGATGCGCAATACTTGAGAGTCAGCTCAAAAGCCAAAGCAGTGTCTAAGGAAGGGAGAAGCAGGGGTGCGGAGGGTTGAGAAGATGGGATTAGGGAGGGAGCAGAGCCAGCAAGTAACAAACTGAACCCACTGGAGCCACAGGGGACCTTCGACTTCGAGAGCACTCACACACCCGCTCGTGGACACACGCACACACGCACACACACTCACATGTTTTCAATGAGGATGGTGATGTGCAGGGTACCACGTCCGCTGACCAGGAACGTATCCGCGCTCTCCCCGTCCTCCACCTTCATCGCCAGATTCCTCTCCAGCTCCCGCATCAGCCGGTCCCTCAGATTCCGCGACGTCACAAATTTCCCCTCGCGCCCGGAGAACGGCGACACGTTCACGGAGAAGCTCATCTTGACCGTCGGTTCCTCCACCGAGATCGTCGGCAGCGCGTCGCCGTCGCGGTCCGCGATCGTCTCGCCGATCTGCACGTCCGGCAGGCCGGACAACGCGCAGATGTCTCCCGCCTCCACGTCATCAACGGGAACTCGTGCGAAATTGTCGTACACGAACAGCTCCACGACCTTCGCCACGCGGCAGGCGCCATCGGGCGTGCAGATCTTCGCCACCTGCCCGCGCGCGATCCTCCCCGCGTGAACCCGCCCAATCGCAATCCTCCCCTTATGCTCGTCGTAATCCAAATTCGTCACCAGCATCTGAAGCGCCGCCTTAGGCTGCACTTTCGGCCCCGGAACGCACTTGATAATCGACTCGAACAGCGGCTCGAGATCGTCGGCAAGCGCATCCGGCTCCATACCAGCCTTCCCCTGAATCCCGCTCGCGTACACGGTGGTGAAGTCGCACTGCTCGTCGGTAGCTTCGAGCTCGCAGAAGAGCTCGAAGGTGGCGTTGATGACGTGCTGCACGCGCGCCGCTGGGCGGTCCACCTTGTTCACCACCACCACCACGCGGTGCCCCAGCTCCAGGGCCTTCTTCAGCACGAACCGCGTCTGCGGCATGGGACCTTCGACAGAATCAACCTGGGGTAGGAGGTGGAAAATAAACGGGGCTCAGTGTTTGTTCGGCACCATCATCATGCGGTGCCCAAGCTCCAGCGCCAAGTGCATAGGTTGTGTTGGTAGATATGAATGCCAGCTCCCAGTGGTAACCTGATGACGTTTTACCACTCGTTAGAACTCTCCCCTTTGCACTGACAATCACCAGAATCAGCAAAAGACTCACCAGCAGCAGCACGCCATCAACCATGTTGAGCACGCGCTCCACCTCGCCGCCGAAGTCGGAGTGGCCGGGCGTGTCGATGATGTTGATCTTGGTGCCGCGGAACCGGATCGCCGTGTTCTTGCTCAGAATCGTGATGCCTCGCTCGCGCTCCAGGTCGTTGCTGTCCATGATGCGCTCTTGCATCTGCTGGTTGTCGCGGAACACCTGATAACGCGTACGAGGGAGCGAGGGAGGAACGGGGGTTGAAATGAGGGGTGTCAGCAACAGCTTCAGTGAATTAAAAAACTTGTGATTTCTACCTGAATTTAGCGATAACGATTACAATTGATACCGTACGCGGTTCCCACACCTTCGCATGAGGTTGTGCTTTCCGAGTGTTAAATGGGTGGTCACACGAGGTGTCGCCGGACGCACCTTGGCTTGTCTGAGCATGGCGTCGACGAGCGTCGTCTTGCCGTGGTCGACGTGCGCGATGATGGCGATGTTGCGAATGTCAGAACGGGTTACCAGCGCCGAATCGTCTGCCACAGGAACAACTAAACCAGAGGGAATGATGACGTGTCAGTGCTTTGGGCTCCGACTATCGAAAGCTAAAGTGAGCCACGACGCTGTAAAGGTTGGCGATAATAAACTGAAGCGTGTTATGTGTGTTCACATACCAGGAGCCTCAACGGCGACGGCGGCGCGCACTGCGGAGCGGCCATGGATCCTCTGCTTGGATTGAAGCCGATCGATAGGTGCGCTTTGAGTTGTAGCGGCGAAGCTTTGACCCAACTGTTGGAAACAGTGACAGAAAGAATACAAAAGAAGAGCAGTAAGTCCAGAGTTATGATGTCGCCTGGAAATGGCTGTGCCTTGAACCTTCGTTGCGAGTCCGGCTAGTTCGGACCGGTGTAGTAATGGGTGAGAGAGAAAAGAGAGCGAAGGCATGAACAAGGAATAATATTTTCATCTGATGTGACGTGATCATGCAGGTGTTAGGCGTGGCCCAAACCCTTGTGGCCTAGGGCTATGTATCGTGTTTAGATTCATATCGAGGGTTCTTGAGGAACGAGCAAATAGGCTTGTTACATTACACTGACAAATGGCCCATGAGGTGAACCTTCTTGAGATACTGACTGATTGATATTATCTGCAAGTGTTCGCTCATCACATTCTTACATGTCCTCCACGGAAGGTCTTGAGTCCATTTAACCGCACACTCCGGTGGGAAGAGGCGGCAGGACGAGCCACGGCGGACTCGAGCAGAGCAGCCTCGACGGGTGCGCTGCGGATCGTGACTGCGTTCGACATGGTTGCACAGGAGGAGACTGGCAACCAACCGATATCAGGTAAAGTCCTTGAATGAAACTGAATGCGTCTCCTTACAGCTCACAAGGAGCTGAGTAATGGAGAGGGAGTACCGAAAGAGGAAACGCAAAATAAGGAGCTTCAACTGATGCAGCAGTCAGGTTTTGATGTGATCAACGATCACTCACTAGCCAGACTCCCAATTCTCCCATTTCCCACAACCGACCCCCAAGTCTCGACCGATCCCAGCTGAAACAAGCCACCTCTCCATCGCGAGAGTTTTTGGTTGGATAGAACCCGGCTATCAGGGATTACCGCTCTAAAACGTAGCAAAACGTACAAAACCGTGTGTGAGTCTGTCGTATTTTCCAGGCGTTTCACCAGACGAAAGCAAGCACGTCACTTAGCAAAGCATCAGGAAGTGTGGAATTCGCGAGGCAAGGGTTTGGCAGTCGAGGCGCTACTGGAATAAAATTGGATTCGTTTGTGGCTGTGATAGCCAGCCACGTGTGCAAGCCGCAGGGGAAATCCATACAGCCCACCAGGACGCTCACAGGCCCGCGGAATTCCCGATGACGGTATCTGAATGTAGGCCGCAGGCGATGTTACGACACGGCAAGCCTACTCAGCTCGTGTGAAGCCACGGTGCCTCGTCCCTGTGTGGTTCAACGGGCTCTCTGGGCGCCACGATGCTTGGGGTTTGGAGGTGACGTGGAAAGTGGCTAATGGTCAAGGCCCCGCCGCAAAAGTACCTACCCGTCTGTGACGAGACGTCGGACACTTGAAGTTGCGGTAACCTTACATCGCTAGGGGGTAGCTGTAACATTCGTCGAAACGATGAGCAATACATATGATTGTGCCAATGAGCAACCAGCAGCTAGAAACTCCTTGGCATTTCATGGACAGTTTCGTTCAAGGGTATCCTGCCCAAGCTGCCTAGGGTTGCTCACCCAACAGAACTCGTTGCAAAGTCATGTTTCACACGCATGGTCTGATTCATGTCTGCCGAACGTAGCCGTCATCCGTGACCCACCTGACGTGGTATTGAGTCAAAGAGTGTTGAGTTCCCCGCTTTTCTGCATGACAGCAATGCTGTCAAAAGCCAGTATGGGGTACCACCGACCGCCCATTGAATGAGCAGCACCGTCATGACCGTCCGATCAAACAAGAATGACGCTGAAATCCACCCAGCCAACCAGCACTAGCCTCACAATGCCCGCGCGCTTTTCCCCCGTCTCTGGAGGATCTCAACATCCGCCCGCACCCCCAGTTTCGCGCCATCCACCTGTGAAAATAAACTTCCTCTTCCTCCCAGCGCTCCCACCCAGCCGCCAGTTTTCCATGCCGCGTGCAGCACAACCTTTGGAAGTTCTCCGCCATTACAAACATACCATCACATCGTGCGCTCCAGTGCGGTGATAGATTTTGTTTGCAGGGTATTGAGGCTTACAAACCGATGAAAAACGTATGAAGCTCCTCACTCGCCACCTCCCCGCAGGAGAGAGCATCATCCTCGGTTTATCCGATACTTGAAACCTGATGCATGCTTCACGCCTAGAATCTAACCACTTGTGCAGACTTGCACAGGTCTCGAACAAATATCCAGCCTCTCTGTCCAGCCCCTGCTACACCGATGCTAACTCTTACCTCGCACAACCTTCTCAGGCTTTAGAATCCACGTACCGCTAATGTGTTCTGCATCCGCATCTCCCTGAATGGTGCAACCGAGCTCGCTGATATCTAGGGACGAGTTTAGTATGAGCCGCGGAATCATGGGGTTCATCAACGGGATTCCGGGGAACCTGAACAACATTAGCATGCCATCCATGGGCTCGGATATCGATCCTTTCAAGGTCGCAGCGGGCTTAGCTGTTGCCGTCGGAGTCGCCGCGATCGGCGGCGTCGCTGCAGCGGTGACGGTTGGAGGCATCATCGTTCTCCGGGAACAGTACGTTTCGTACTTGTCGCGTTTATCGCGTAGAATCTCAGCGTCTCTTCCGTACTCCTGTTTTCCGACCTGCTCAAATCCTTCCGTGACGGCTCCAAGCTACAACCCCATCCCGCGTGTTTCAAGCTACTCTTTGTACGTTTTTCACGTCCACATCTCTCCGTCTGGTTGTCATCCTGCAGGGGTCAGTTCATGTTGCCATGGGAGGACAAGCCCAAGTCTATCAGGCCAGCGCCGCTGACGGTGCAGCAGTGGAGGGACTGCTTTGACGACGCCACCGGTCGCTTGAAGGGCGGCGGCGAGACGGCTATCGGCCGTGTCCGGCTTGGGGTAAGCGACCTCGTTTGAGTGTAACGGGTCTCCGTTTCTGGATGTTGTTGTTGCACTACTCCTTACCCTCCCCTCTCTCTCCCCCCATATCACTTGGTGTGCCTGGCGCCGTGAACGCAGGGATGCGACGCAGAGATCAGAGCCGAGGTCTGGCCGTTCCTCCTTGGCCTGTAAGCTCATTTGCAAGCATTTCTCTCCTTGTCCTCTTCTCTTTCGCCCTCTCTCGTAGTAGTCCTGACACTGCTTCGCCCTCCTCTGAACTTATTCACATCCTCCCCTTCTCTCCTCGTTCACGTATTCGCCCCCTCGCGTGTTTTTTTTTTAACGTAGCGCTCCTCTCCGGGCTGTCGCTAAACCCTTCCGCTATGTCCTTCAGGTACGAGGCGGAGAGCACGGAGGCGGAGAGGGCGCAGCTGCGCGCGCAGAGGCGCGTGCTGTACGAGGAGATCCGCGCGATTGCGGCGCGCGTGGCGGTGATTGCGCGGCAGGCGGAAGAGGAGGCGACGAGGAGGATGAAGGAGGAGGAGGAGAGGGAGGAAAGGGAGGAGCGAGAGAGGGAAGAGAGAGAGAGGAAGGAAAGAGAGGAGAGGGAGAGGGAGGAAAGGGAGAGGGAGGAGAGAGAGGAAAGGGAGGGGGAGGAGTCGGAGAGAGGAAGGAGCAACGAAGGCGGCAGCAGTCAGGAGGCGGTCAGGTCCAGCATCAGAGGGGATAATGGCGGCGATGGTGATGGAAGTGGGAGTGGAAATGAGGACGGTAATGGTAGCAATGGTGGCGAAAACAGCGGTGTTGGTAACGCGAGCGATGACGAGTTCAGTGATGCGGTGTGCGTGGATTCCGCGTGCGCCAGTCTGTCCGTCTCCACTGAGTCTTTCGTGGATGTCGCACGTGAGGAGGCTGCCCATGCTGCTGCTGCTGCTGACGCTGACGCTGATGCTGCTGGTGGTTCTGGTTCTGGTTCTGGTTCTGGTTCTGGTTCTGGTTCTGGTTCTGGTTCTGGTTCTGGTTCTGGTTCTGGTTCTGGTTCTGGTTCTGCCCTTGAGGCTGCAGATGCCCCTGGTGCCTTCTCAGGCGAGGCAGGAGAAGCAGAAGCAGTCGCGAGCACGGGAGCAGGCGCAGGGGAGGAGGCGGATGGTTCAGAGGGCAGAGAAGCCTCTGGAGGTGGCTGTGGGGGAGGTGGCGGCAACACGACTGATGATGAAAAGGAAGATGACAAGGATGATGATAATGATGATGGTGATGGTGATGGTGATGATGGTGATGGTGATGATGCCTCACGTGAGCAACGCCAAGAGCACCCGCTAGACTGCAAGATCCCGGAGTGCTTCCGCCCGCGCACCAGCAGTGGCAGAGGAGGAGCAGCAGGAGAGACAGGAGGAGAGGCAGGAATCGGCAGGGGCAGCACCTGCGGGCGAGGCAGCGGATCTCTGGAGAATTTTGTAACCTGGCAACGTATAATGCGGTTGGATGCGGTGCGAATGAACGCCGCATGGATTCCATACTCCACCCAAAAGGCTTTCCCGCCGGAAGAAGCAATGGAGGCGGCAGCAGCCGCTGGCCTGCCGGAACACGGACACTTATCGCCGCCCCAAAGGCTGCATGCCGCCCGGCTGGTGGCGATTTTGGAGGCATATGCGGTGTATGATCCTGAGGTGGGGTACTGTCAAGGCATGAGCGATCTGCTATCCCCGTTTGTAGCTCTTTTGGAGGAGGATTCGGAGGCATTTTGGTGCTTCGTGGCGTTTATGCAGAGAGGAGGTGTGGGCAGCAGCGACTGCACTGGCGTTGCTGACAGCGATGGCAGCAGTAGCAACAGTAACCGGCGCAGCGGTAGCAGCACGGCCGGCGACGGCAGCGGAAGCAACAATCCCACCACTATCTCTAGCACCTGCAGTGCGGGCGGCGGCGCTCGGCACAACTTCAGAACGGACGAACGAGGCATCCGGCGCCAGCTGGCGCGGGTAGCGGCTTTATTGCGCACAGCAGACCCGCCGCTGTACGCACATTTAGAGGCGGTGGGGGCGGAGAGCTGCATGTTTGCGTACCGGTGCGTGGTGGTACTGATGAGGCGAGAGCTGTCGTTTGAGCACACCATGTGCCTTTGGGAAGTCATGTGGGCCGATGCTGCTGCCGCTGCGGCTGCTGCGAACGTTGCCCGTGCTGCTGCTGCTGCTGTCGCTCCTGTTACTGCTGCTGCGATTGCGCCCACTGTTGCTGCAGCTGCTGCTGCTGCTGCTGCTGCTGGAGCCGATGCGGCTGCGGTGGGTACTGCGGCTGAAGCTGGCACTGAAGGCGGTGGAAACGAAGCAGCCAAAGGCGGGGACTCGTCAGGGGGTACACGCAGTGAGGCAGAGGCGGGGGAGGATTGCGAGTGGGAGAAGGTAGAAGCGGAGGAGGCAGAGGACAAAGGGCGTGAGGAGGGAGAGCGCAAGGGAGAGGAGGGAGGGGAGGGGGAAAGGGAGCGGTGGGAGAGGGACGACGAGAGCGCCCCTCTGCTGGACAATGGATGGGGCGGTGCTTTTGGCTGGGCGGCTGCTGATAAGAGCTCCAGTTGTTCTGACGCCACCATCACCACCACTGCTGCTGCCGGTGACACCGCCACCAGCAGCAGCATCAGCGCAAGTAACACATCTACAGGCAAAGTTACAAGCAGAGACACGAGCAGGGATACAAGCAGGGATACAAGCAGGGTGAGCGGCAGTAGGAGGAAGAAGGCATGGCAGGAGTGCCGGCCGCGGCCGGATTTCCTGCTCTTTGTGGTGGCGGCCATTCTGGTGAGCCGCAGGGAGCAGGTGCTGTGCTGCGAGGGGCTGGACGAGGTGCTTCTGCTCTGCAACAGCCTGTCGGGGCAGCTAGACGTGTGGGAGCTCATGCACTGCGCTCGCCAACTGGCAGCTCGCCTGCCGTAAGAGGGTGTGTGGTCAACGGCAATGGGAGCCGCAGGGAGCAGGTGCTGTGCTGCTAGGTGCTGGACGAGGTGCTTCTGCTCTGCAACAGCCTGTCGGGGGAGCTGGATGTGTGGGAGCTGATGCACTGTGCTAGGCAGCTAGCTGCTCGCCTGCAGTGAGCAGCAGGGAGCAGGTTTCGTTCTACAGCAGGTGCCGTGCTGTCAAGGGCTCAACGAGGTGCTGCTGCTGTGCAACAGCCTGTTGGGGCAGCTAGACGTGTGGGCAACCATGCACTGCGCCAGGCAGCTAGACGTGTGGGCAATCATGCACTGCGCCAGGCAGCTAGACGTGTGGGCAATCATGCACTGCGCCAGGCAGCTAGACGTGTGGGCAATCATGCACTGCGCCAGGCAGCTAGACGTGTGGGCAATCATGCACTGCGCCAGGCAGCTAGACGTGTGGGCAATCATGCACTGCGCCAGGCAGCTAGACGTGTGGGCAATCATGCACTGCGCCAGGCAGCTAGACGTGTGGGCAATCATGCACTGCGCCAGGCAGCTAGACGTGTGGGCAATCATGCACTGCGCCAGGCAGCTAGACGTGTGGGCAATCATGCACTGCGCCAGGCAGCTAGACGTGTGGGCAATCATGCACTGCGCCAGGCAGCTAGACGTGTGGGCAATCATGCACTGCGCCAGGCAGCTAGACGTGTGGGCAATCATGCACTGCGCCAGGCAGCTAGACGTGTGGGCAATCATGCACTGCGCCAGGCAGCTAGACGTGTGGGCAATCATGCACTGCGCCAGGCAGCTAGCGGCTAGTCTTCCCTAGAGAGAATGGATTTGTTTGTTAGCTGCGCTCTCCGCAACCTGCTGCCATCTGGCTCTGGAGGGGGGGATTTGACCTGCTTATGGCTGTGAAGGGACTGCTGCCTCTCCACCACTCCCATTTCTCCACTCCCATCCCACCTCTTCCGATTTCGCCACTCCCACTACACTCCGATCCCACTGTATATACCGTAGCATGTATTTTGTACCTCGGCTCTTTTTCCTTGAAGTAAATGCAGCAAATCCATGAGCTAAGATGGCTGCTGCTGCATAAACAGCTATCTGCTGTTTTCACAGGTTGCTGCCTGTTGTGCCAGACTTCTGTTTCTTGTGCTACGCCTTTTTGTTTGGTAAATTCCATGTACTGTGCTACTGTACAAACTACCATACTTACTGTACTGGTAGGTTACAGCTGTGCACTTAACTGAGCCTCACTCCTCCCACCTGTTGCAATACAATATATTCATGGGCTTCTGGCTGAGATCATGCTGACAACTCAACAGCAGCATATTCTGCTACCGTAAATCGTTCCTTGTCTCAGAAATAAAATATATTCGTGCCACCTTACTTCAGCACCTTCAACCCCTATTGCTTCTCCGCCTAGCTCCTCTGAAGCTTCTCCACAATCACCACACTGCACCCCTTGGCCAATCCCCATCCGACCCACCTCACCCTCTCAGTTATCGACGTGCCATGCACACCCATCAACTCTTCACCTTTTGCTTCTCCGCCTTGCGCTTGCGCTTCTCTGCTTTGCTCCTCTGCAGCTTCTCTGCAACCACCGCGTTGCGCCCCTTGGCCAGCCGCTCCCTAATCTCTTTCACCTTTTCAGCCATGCCCGTGCCGTCTCCCCCCTCTATGGACGCCTGGGACGATGCCAGAAGGGACTGGGGTAACAAGGGACAGGAGGAGAGAGTGGAGGGGTGGGGATGAGCGACCAGTAGTGTCGTGCCACTTGGCCAGTCGCTCTCGGATATCTTTCACCCTCTCAGCCATCCATGTGCCATCCCCCCCCTCTATGGATGCCTGGGAGGATGCCAGAAGGGACTGAGGTGGCAGGGAGACGATGGGGGGAAAATGCAGATAAGTCAGCTGATCTGGCCTCCCCGGCACAATACTAGCAAACCAATAATTTACAAAAACCCAGGCGGGAAATTTAACAATACTTTCTTCAAGTGAAGGACAACTTTTCACAGAAAGAACAGAGGTGCAGCTCACCTTGATGTGGCTGATAGCAGCCAAGTTGCATCCCACTGTTGCCACTGCGCCCTGCCATGCCATAGCACAGGACACACACCATGTCATGCCATCGCACAAACCACACACACCATACCACGGCATGTGGTGCCAGGCCAGAGAACACCCGAATATGCACCAGTTAGCAAAACAATTGTGGTTAGCAAGAACACATGAGAGAGATAGCTGGTCGCATGCAAATATGCAAATAAGTAAATACAGACATATGCAGAACCAAATATGCAGTGTGTGCACTGCAGCCCTGCACCCCTTCCCACTCAGAAACCACACCCTGAGTGATGCCCGTAGCAGTGTGTGCACTGCAGCCAATAGCGGGCGGGCAGTGGACGTGGCGACGAGCTGCAAGTGGTGGATGCGGACGAGGGTGACGAGCAAAACCCCCCACCCACCCACCCCGTTACAAATACCATACCTTGAGTGAAGCACGTAAGAGAGTGTGCACGGCGGCCAGTAGCGGGCGTGCAGTGGGGGTAGCGACGAGCTGCGAGTGGTGGATGCGCACGAGGGAAACGAGCAAAACCCCCCATCCCACCCACCCCGCTACCCCCTCTCCCCCTTCGAACACCATACCTTGAGTGAAGCACGTAAGAGAGTGTGGACAGCAGCCAATAGAGGCCGGGCGGTGGGCGTGGCGACGAGCTGCGAGTGGTGGATGCGCACGAGGGACACGAGCGCCCGGGCGGCAAACTCCAGCTGCGGCAGCGGGCGGTGCAGCCAGTGGGGGGCGAAGTGGAGAATCCGCAGCGCCACTGTGAAGGGCAGCACCAGCAGCGCTTGCTCGAGCTCCGACGGCTTGACTCTGGCGAGAGCTCGCAGCACAAAGGCCGCTGGCGCATGGCCTAGGAGCAGCACGTTGGGCTGGAAGGAGGGCAGCAGCGAGGTGGGGTCGCTGGGGTCCTGCAGCGATTGGGAGACATGGGAAGGTATGGGGGGAAGGTCGAGAGCGATATGGGAAAAGAGTCGAGAAAGAGATGGAGGGAGTGGCTGGAGAGATGGGGCGAAGCTAGACCATCCGAGCCTCCTCCAATGACGCCAGCTGCATGCTGGGCCTGGGACACAAATAGATTCTCTCATCCATCCGTTTCTCATGCTTGATACTTCACTAGACCAGAAAAACTCCACCTTAAGTCTCACCTTGATGAAGGGAACCATGCGAGCCTCTTCCATGGATGCCAGCTCAACCGCCTCAATGATCGAGTCTGCCGCCCAAACCGTCTCCTGCGTGCCCCTTGCCGCCCCTCCCACGCCGCCCAGCTCCCCCGCCGCGCCGCCCGTCGCCTCCCCGCCTTCGCCGCCCTCCTCGTCGTCGCCCCCGTCCGGGCGGCGTGCGTCGGTTGGTAGCGCCACTGCTCGGGCTTCAAACATGGCTTCGAGCTGCTTCTCGCGCTCCTCCTGAGAAAGGGGAGGGATGGTAGGAGGAAGGAGGGAGGTGTGTGTATGGGGGGGGAGAGTGGGCGGAGGTGGGAGGAAGGGGATGAGTAAGGTTGCTTCGAACGTGGCTTCGAGCTGCTTCTCCCGCTCCTCCTGATGAACGACAAGGAAGTTTGGAGCCGGGACAGGGAAAAACAAAAAAGCAACAGATACAATTTCATGCGCTGCCCTGGTTAACCTGCCATGCTCGCAATACCCCCCCTCCTCCATTTCGTTGCTACTTATATATATAAGATATATACAAATACATATGATATCACGGCAGAGACTTTCCTCCCCTTCCTACATTACCCATCTCGCGGAAGAAAGGCTCGTCAGTACGCTGCCAGCCAGCGGCGGATGGAGCGCCATGTAGGCTGGGCGAGCTGCAGATTAGAACTTTTGAGGCGCCTAAAAAATTGCGGGTGGAGAGACGACTTTTGAGGCGCCTCAAAAATTGCGGGTAGAGAGACGACTTTTGAGGCGCCTCAAAAGGCTGGGTGAGCTGCAGATAAGAAGAATCTGGCCTGCGAATCAATCAGAACTAACCTCGAGGAAGAAAGGCTCGTCGATGCGCCGCCATGCAGTAATAGCAGATACCTTACCAGTTCGTTAATTCACCACTTTCCACCCCTCAACACCGCCTTCCACTCTCCCACCTCGAGGAAGAAGGGCTCGTCGGTGCGCTGCCAGCGGCGGATGGAGCGATCGTGCGAGCCGGAGACAAGGAAGTCACCGAGGGGGCTGATGGCTAGTGACCAGACCTGGGTGGCAGGGAGAGGAGCGTTCAGCAGCACACGCGTGCGTGTTAGAGGGGGGGGGGGGGGGAAAGAGGTTTGAAAGCTGTGGAAAATAACAAGGGCTCATATGCCGGCACCGGCGGATGGAGCGATCGTGCGAGCCGGACACGAGGAGGGTAGGAGGGGAGAAGGGAAGTGCGGAGGAGGGTAGGAGGGGAGAAGGGAAGTGCGGAGGAGGGTAGGAGGGGAGAAGGGAAGTGCGGAGGAGGGTAGGAGGGGAGAAGGGAAGTGCGGAGGAGGGTAGGAGGGGAGAAGGGAAGTGCGGAGGAGGGTAGGAGGGGAGAAGGGAAGTGCGGAGGAGGGTAGGAGCGGGAGAAGGGAAGTGCAGAGGAGGGTAGGAGGGGAGAAGGGAAGTGCGGAGGAGGGTAGGAGCGGGAGAAGGTGGGGAAGGGAAGTTGGGAAACCTCGGGTGCATGAAGGGCAGCATGACGGGTAGGATGGCGGGCAGCATGTGGCACAGCTCACCTCTGCGTGGTGCCCCTCCAGTGTGAGCAGCAGCTGGAACTTGTCCTCATCCCAGTACCGCACCCTTCGGTCTTTCACATACACTAGGCCTTATGTGTCAAGACAAAGAAGTCAAAGGAGTCAGGCCACCTCACATGGCTCTGTCCACAGCTACAACATCGCTCACCTCAGCGTGGTGCCCCTCTAGCGTGAGCAGCAGCTGGAACTTGTCTGCATCCCAGCAGCGCACGTCGTCAGTGCTGACAGGTGTGAAAAGGGAAGTATATTTGCCCGGGTCAAAGCACACGCAGTCAAGCCCAGCTCACCTCAGCATGGTGCCCCTCCAGTGTGAGCAGCAGCTGGAACTTGTCAGCATCCCAGTACCGCACCCTTCGGTCCTTGCCACACGAGAAGAAGTAGTGCGTGCGGGGCACGAACTTGACACTCATCACACTGCATTGAGAGAGAGGGTGATAAGAAGGGTGGGATGGAAAGTGAGGGGGGAGCAGGGGGTTGAATGAGTCAAAGCCAGCTTGTCCGCATCCCAATAGTGCCCTCATCTGCCCTTGCCACATGACGAGAAGTAGTGCGTGCGTGGGACGAACTTGACGCACATCACACTGTATTGAGAGGAGGATAAGGGGGGGGAAATAAAGGGAGAATGGGGGGGTTGAGTGAGTCAAAGGCAACTTGTCAGCGTCCCAATACCATGCTTTGCTGCATCAGATCAGACGAAGCATTGTGTGTGTGCGGGCGGGCGGGCAGCAGTCTCCAAAGTCGAGCCCCCGGATCTTGACGCTCTTGTCTGCTGAGCCCGACACTGCCATGACCTGCCTGCCTGCAATGACCTGCCTGCCTGGATCACTGCACCTGCTTCACGCACAACCTCTGCTGCTAGAAAGAGCACTCACCTGTCTTGGTGGGCGAACAGAGAGCGGTGGCAGTCCCCAAAGTCGAGCCCCCAGATCTTGACGCTCTTGTCCGCTGAGCCCGACACTGCGAGCTGTGAGTACCCCACCTGCTATGGCATGCTTCTCCCAAACGCTCTGCCCTCCTGCTGCAAGAAAAGTGCCCACCCACCTGTCCTGGTGAGCGAAGAGGGACAAGTGGCAATCTCCAAAGTCGAGCCCCCGGATCTTGACGCTCTTGTCCGCTGAGCCTGACACTGCAAGCTGCGAGTCCGCTACCTCCCTAGTTAAAGCCTACCCACCATCCTCTCCTACCCCGCCTTACTGACCCACACACCCTGCCGCGACAAGCAACGCACCCACCTGTCCTGGTGTGCAAACAGAGACCGATGGCAGTCCCCGAAGTCGAGTCCCCAGATCTTGACGCTCTTGTCCGCCGAGCCCGACACTGCGAGCTGCGAGTCGGAGGAGATGTCGAGGCAGATGGCTGGCAGCTTGTGGCCGTACAGCGAGAGGAAGAAACGCAGCGAGTCGACAAAGAACACCTGCGGTGGAGGGAGATGGGGTGCATTGAGGGGGAGAACAAGGGAGAAGATGGTGGGAGAGAAAGGAGATGGCGAGGCAGATGGCTGGCAGCTTGTGGCCGTACAGCGAGAGGAAGAAGCGCAGCGAGTCGACAAAGAACACCTGCGGTGGAGGGATGTGAGGGGGACAGAGAGAGGCAGAGGGGAGGCGACAGCAAAAATTGCTCAGAAGTTCAACCGCTGGTACACTTGCTATCTGATTATCGACTTTTCATGAGATGATCAGATAGCAGGTATCAGCGGGCGTAAGATGATAGTGGAGTCAAAGAGTGAGATTGCAGCGCATCGGCCATCCCGTATGGTGAGTAAATCCTCTCCTCACCACTTTTGGAAGTTCTCAAATGTGCGCGCACGCACAGCGGTTAGCAGTTTTCTGCATACCTTGATGGTGGAGTCGAGGAGCGAGAGTGCAATGTATCGGCCGTCAGGGCTAAACGCCACACTTAGCACATCGTCAGACATCTTGAGCGTGCGAGTGTTCACCACTGTTAAGTGCTTCTCACCCCTCCCTGCCGCCAGTGCATCCTGGCAAAGAAGTAAGTACGATTTTGAGAGTTTATTAGAATAGAAATAGCACTGGGCACAAAAAACCTTCAGAGATCAGGAAGACGAGGCTTGACATTGCAAGCTCGTTTTTTTTTTTTTTTTTTTAACATGACTTTAAAGAACAGAGATCAGTCGGATATTGCACCTTGTTTCACTCACCTTGTCTGCATCGGATCCCTTGAGCTGCATCTGATACTCCCAAAACTGAAGGCGGGGAATGGGGGGCAGGTTAAGATGAAGGGGATTGCACAGGGGGGTAAGGGAAGCGGTGGGAGGGGAGGGGAAGAGCGGGAGGTGGGGGGAAGAGGAAGGGAAAAGCGAAAAAGAAACACTCCCACTAACACGCACAAATACACCCACACACACTCACACACGCCCACACACTCACACACTCACCTTCACACAGCCGTCAGCAGAGGCAGTGGCGAAACCAGTGTTATCAGGCAGGGCAGCCACGGCCCACACGGCCTTGATTGATGATACGGGGCGCAGAGCACAGCACATGCACACGCGCACCCTCACCTTTGCACACGCGCTCACGCACTTGACACTCACACACTCACACACGCCCACACACTCACACACTCACCTTGACACAGCCATCAGCAGAGGCAGTGGCAAAACCCGTGTTATCAGGCAGGGCAGCCATGGCCCACACTGCCTTGATTGAAGAAAGAGAGGGCACAGGTCATTGTATGTGCATACTACAGCCATCACAGATTCAAACATACCACCACCACACACACTCACCTTCACACAGCCGTCAGCAGAGGCAGTGGCGAACCCCGTGTTATCAGGCAGGGCAGCCATGGCCCACACTGCCTTGTCGTGTGCTGCCTGAATCAGAGCCGTGCGCTCTGCACCGGCCACTGAGAAGACCTCCAGGTCGCCTGCTTGTGTGCCTGCGATGGCCTGCGTTGCGTGCAGGGAGCAGTGGGAGGAACAGGAGAGTGGTGAGTCATGGAAGGTGGAGCAGGGTTAGGGTTGGGGTTGGGGTTGGGGTTGGGGTTGGGGTTGGGGTTGGGGTTGGGGTGGTGGGGAAGAGTCACGGCCCACATTGCCTTGTCGTGGGCTGCTTGGATGAGAGCCGTGCGCTCTGCACCGGCCACTGAAAACACCTCCAGGTCGCCTGCTTGTGTGCCTGCGATGGCCTGTGAAGTGAACCAAGAGGAGAGGAAGGAGAGGAAGAGTCTAAGGGGGGGAATCACGGCCCACACAGCTTTGTCATGTGCTGCTGCTTGGATGAGAGCAGTGCGCTCAGCACCGGCCACTGAAAACACCTCCAGGTCGCCTGCTTGTGTGCCTGCGATGGCCTGAGTGCAGGGAGGAGTGGGAGGAGCGTGAGTGTCAAGTGGTGGCTGGGGGATACAGTGTCATGGCCCACGTGGCCGCTGTGTGCGCCTGCACCAGAGAGTCCATTTTTCAGGCACCTCAAAAATGATCTCTGTATGTGTGTGCTGCCGGCACCAGTGAGTGGTGCGCTCAAGTCAGAGTGTTGAGTGCCTGAGAGAGCCAGGGGCAGAGAGGGCTAATCTGAGTTGGGGATACAAGGCAAACAACAAAACAGTTCAAACACCCTACCCAACCCTTTGCCACATCCAACCCTCCCCACATCCAACCCTCCCCACATCCAACCCTCCCCACATCCAACCCTCCCCACATCCAACCCTCCCCTACCACAAACCGACCCCTCCGCAGAACCCCATTGCACACTCCTTCCTCCCTCACGCCCAGCCCTCACCCTCAACTTCCTCCTTCCTTCCTCCCCATCTCACATATCCACCTGTTCCCCCTCCCCTCCCCTCGTCTCACTCACGTATCTATCACCAGGGGCGAAGAGGCAGCAAAGGCCGTAGCCCGAGTCAAAGGAAGAGAGGCAGGCTCCAGTCACAGGGTTCCACACCTGAAGGGGGGGGTGGGAGGAAGGGAGAGAAAGCAGAGGGTAAGGGAAGGGGCGCGCATGTATGTGGTGAGCTGCTGTGGTGGCACGGCACGTCAGGCCGTAGCCCGAGTCAAAGGAGGAGAGGCAGGGTCCAGTCACAGGGTTCCAGACCTGCAGGGTGGGGTGGGGGGGGGGGAGGAAGGGAGCGAGAAAAGGGGTACGAGAAGGGGTGAGCATGTACAGCAAAGGCCGTAGCCCGAGTCAAAGGAAGAGAGGCAGGCTCCAGTCACAGGGTTCCACACCTGCCACGTGGGGAGGGAGGAAGGGCACGACGATGTGTGAGATTGAGAGGAGTGAGAGAGGTGAGAGAGGTGAGAGAGTTGAGAGAGGAGCGTGGGAGGAGCATGGGGGCGCGGGGATTGAGAGGAAAAGTGGGCCGTAAGAGGGGAAGCGAGATGTAAGAGGGTAAGAGGTGTTTCATTACTGTGATATCAGCACATTGCCGCCCACCTTGGCAGAGCCTTTGGAAACGGACAAAAGAAGCGAGCCATCTGAGGAGAGCGCCAGCGAGCGGACGTCCGATCGGTGGCCGGCAGACTGCAGCGCTGCCGCCCGGGTGCTGCTGTCCGCATGAATCGTGTGGATCTGGAAAAAAGAAGGGGGGAAAGTGGGAGGAGGGATGAAGGACACGGGAGAATGGAGGGAAAGCGGCATTCGAGTTGACTCAACAGTCGCCCCGCATGCTGCTGACTGAGTGAATGGCGTGGATTTAGAGGATGGGGAGGAGGAGGGAGGGAGGGAGGGGGGGAGGGAGGGGGGGAGGGAGGGGGGGAGGGAGGGGGGGGAGGGAGGGAGGGAGGGAGGGGGGAGGGAGGGAGGGAGGGAGGGAGGGAGGGAGGGAGGGAGGGAGGGAGGGAGGGAGGGAGGGAGGGAGGGAGGGAGGGAGGGAGAATGCTTTGGGAGGTGCTAGTGCTAGCGCCAGTGTCGGCTCAGGACAACCCCATAACGACCCCCCGTCTCACCTCCACGCTGTTGTTGTGCAGGGCCAGCGCCAGTGACGGCTCTGCTGCTCCCCTCTTCTGCACCACCTCAAAACAAACCCCATAAGGACCCCCCTTTTTCTCCCTCGTCTCACCTCCACGCTGTTATTGTGTAGTGCCAGCGCCAGTGACGGCTCTGCTGCTCCTCCTCTCCCCGCTCCCCTCCCCCCAGCCCCTGCTGCCTTGGGCGCAAACGCAATGGCGCGCACTCGGTGCTTCAAACGAATGGTGAACATCGAAGCAAACTCGTCTGCCCCCTCCACAGTCACCCCCGCCCCTCCCTCCCCCTTCCGCTCCCCCCCCCCCCCTGCCCTCCCTCCTCCCCTTCTCCTCCCCCCTCCACCATTCCCTCCCCTGCCTCCTCACCCTCTCGCTCCCCCTCATCCCCCTTCCCTTTCCCCTTCTCCACCTGTCTCCGCCTCCGCCTCTTAGCCTGCCTAGCCGCCTCACCAGGGCTCCTCACCCTAAACAACTCAACAGCCTTGCCAGCACTCTGGCAGGCTAGGACTTTCCCTGGGCCGTCAAACCGCACGCTTAAAGCCCGCTCTGCGCCCTGCCCCACCCCCACGACTCTCCTTATACTGCCGTGCGGTATAAGCACGTCCCACCGCCCTGCCACCCCGCCTCCTCCCCCACTTCCTTTTGCTGCTCCTGTTCCTCCTCCCCCGGCGACCCCTCCCCCGTTCGCCTCCCCCTCCACCTTCACACCTTCCCCAGGTTCCCCTTCCCCCTCCCCCTCCCCCTCCCCCAACAACCCCCTCTCCGCCCTGATTTGGAAAACCAGAACCTCAGGTTCGGTGCCGGCAGCGACGAGCCTGGGCAGGCTCGGGTGGACGGCGAGCGTCCAGAGCTCGCCGCGAGGCTCGGCAATGGTTTGGATGCAGTGGTGCAGGGCGAGGTCCCACACCTTGATCTGCGCGTCCCTGCTACAGCTGACCAATAGCGACTGGTGCTGCACCATTGTACCCTCCAGGAAGATTAGGTCTGTGACCTGGGGAGTTGAAGAAGCGGAGGGTGGAATGGAGGGAGCACGGGAGGGGAAGGGTTTGGATGCAGTGGTGCAGGGCGAGATCCCACACCTTGATCTGGGCGTCCCTGCTGCAGATTACCAGCAGCGACTGGAGCTGCACGCGGGAACCAGGAAGGTGAGGCCTGTATCCTGGAGAACTTGCACGGCGGGGGATCGGGGGAGGGAGCGGGGTGAATGGGGGAGGAAAACGGGGGATTGATGGTAGACCATGCGTGGATCCATCTGTCTACCACACCTACATCCTCTCTTCATCATAACCCCCAAGCGCGACACTTTGACTGGCCTCTCCTCTGCGTTCCTTCAGTAGAAGGGTTTTCGAGGCGCCTCATAGCCTACATCCTCCCAAACTGGAGAAACTACATTCAAACCCTCCAAAACCCTGAACCCTGGATCTTGCCTGGTCTCTGTGGCCCCTCAGTCGCACGAGCCCCACTTCACCCGCCACGTCCCACACCACGATGTCCGCGTCTCTGCCGCCCGACGCCAGCAGCGCGCCGGCCGCGTTGTACCGCACCACTGCTACAGCCGACCTGTGGCCGGCAAGGCTTGTCCTACACGTGCCGTCCACCATGTTCCACACGCGCACCGTACCGTCCGTGTACCCCGCCGCCACCTGCGTCGCGTCGGCCGGCGACGGGCAAATCGCCGTCACGTCCGCTACAGCGGGGACGGCATCATGCACGCTGCCGGCTGCGCTGCCGGCCGCACCCGCGCCGCCCCCTTGGCTGTAGCCGGCGCCGGCCGGCTGCGGCGAGAGCTGCTGTAGCAGCGTGCCCTTTCGCACGTCCCATACGAGCAAACGTTCGAGCGCGCCGGTTAGAATGGAACGACCTGATTGGTCGAAACAGATGCTGCCGCAGGAAGGGGATACTACGAGACCGAATACCGCTTCCTGCTCGTAGCGCAAGTACGCTTTCACCATCGCGTCGCACTAATTTGACGCCAGCCTACTAGAGAATCTGGACAAGCTGATCCGAAGGACCTCGGAGGGGGAGTCGTTGGGACATAAATCGTTTGTGAGCTTGTAACACGAGAGAATGGTACGTTTTGAAATATAAATTAAAATAATACTAAACTTCAATTGGTAGAGCGATCGCTTCGCATGCGATAGGTAAGGGGATCGATACCCCTCACCTCCACCACATGTTACTTGCTTTTGTGATTTTGGTGCACTTTTTCCTTTTGTCATCAAGCCTGTCTCCTTTTTGTAAATGGGTGACTGCTGTTTGCTTGGCACATCTAGAGAGTTCAGGAAGGGGAGGACGGGGAAGGCAAGAAGGCACCACAACGCGATACACTGATCGTCAACTGTCAGAGATCGTCAGAGACTAGAGAACACAGGTGATGTGGAGATTAATCTATGCAGGTCCTTCCAGCCGCGGGGGTTGATAGGCATGAAATGCACCCCTGAAGCCCCTGCAAGCGATACAATAGGGGAACAGAGGGAGCGGGGGAGTGAGAACGCGAAGTGAACATCAAACTACGCAGGTCTTTCCATCCACGCGGGTTGATGGGCATGACATGCACTCCTGATGCCCCTGCAAGCACCTCGAGAAGGGAACAGAGGGGCAGGAGAGTGGGGAAAACGGGGGAACAAAGGCATGACTTTCTCGTGCTTTCTCGTGCACTCTCGCAACGTGGAAACGTGGAGACATGGGGGTTGAGCTCTCCGCCCCTCGTCATCCCTAAAAGAAGCTCATACCAACATGGCACTCTCAGTGTGCGAACCTCCCCTTTCCGAACAGAAGCCCCACCTTGTCTGATACAGAAGCCCCACCTTGTCTGATACAGAAGCCCCACCTTGTCTGATACAGAAGCCCCACCTTGTCTGATACAGAAGCCCCACCTTGTCTGATACAGAAGCCCCACCTTGTCTGATACAGAAGCCCCACCTTGTCTGATACAGAAGCCCCACCTTGTCTGATACAGAAGCCCCACCTTGTCTGATACAGAAGCCCCACCTTTCAGTTGCGCGGCAAGTGTGAGGTACTGCTCCGTCCAGTGCTGGCGGAACGATCTGAATCGCTCCACATCCACCTCGTCCGTCCCTGCCACCTGCTGTGTGCACGCCCCCTTGTCTGATACCGAAGCCCCACCTTTCAGTTGCGTGGCAAGTGTGAGGTACTGCTCCGTCCAGTGCTGGAGGAACGATCTGAATCGCTCCACATCCACCACGTCCACCTCGCCCGCCCCCGCCACCTGCTCCTCTGCCTGGCGGAACCTCTGACCTGCTTGGCTCCCCACCTTTGAGCTGCGTGGCAAGTGTGAGGTACTGCTCCGTCCAGTGCTGGCGAAACGCCCTGAATTGATCCACATCCACCTCGCCCGTCCCTGCCACCTGCTCCTCTGCCTGCCGGAACCTGGCGATCTCAGCATCAGCTTCACCCCCCTTGGCGTCGGTGAGAAGCATCCAGAAGGCGAGGTTGCGCGCCGAGGTGATGAGAGGCATGCCGATAATCATTGGCACTGCTGTTGTGAGGCTGGGAAAGGGAAGGGTGGGGAGAAGGCAAGACGATGGGGTTTCAGCGTCGGCCTACCCTCCCTTAGCGTCGGTGAGAAGCATCCAGAAGGCGAGGTTGCTCGCCGAGGTGATGAGAGGCATGCCGATAATCATTGGCACTGCTGTGGTTAGGCTGGGAGGAAAGGAAGGGTTTATGGGGGTTTGACAGAGCAACTTCCAAGAAGACAACCAAGAACCAACCCTCCAGGAAGGGTTTAGCGAGGCTGCTGCTTGCTGAATGTTACCTGGAATGTGCCGAAAACCAAGAGGCGAGGATGGTGGAGGTGTGGTGAGGAGAGGAGAGGAGAGGGGCAGTGTGGGAAAGGAAGATGTCACGAATGTCACGCACGGGTTTGAGGGCTCAGAGAAGGGGTGGGTAGCTGCTAGGAGAGATTGAGTCACCGTTGACAAATTCCATTCAGAAAGAGAGGGTGCTGACAACTCCCACCCTTTTTTCTCCCCCATCTTCCCCAAGATCTCCTGCCGTATCCCTTCGTCTTCCGAGTCGACTCAGAAGTCCCCTTTTGAGTCGACTCAGAAGTCCCCTTTTGAGTCGACTCAAAAGTCCCCTTTCTTCTCCCCCATCTTTCCCCCATCTTTCCCCCATCTTTCCCAAGATCTCCTGCCGTATCCCTTCGTCTTCCCCTCCCTGCCCCCCCCTCTCGCCTCTCCCTTTCCCCTCACTCACGCCTCGTCGCCATCTCAGTCTCACTCACCCTCTCTGTTCAGCCGCACACCACCATTGCTGAAAGGTACCCGGCACCACCGGGGGCTGCAGTATGATGGCCTCTGCTCCCGCCTCCAGCTGCTTGGAAAAATGGGTGTGTGTGGAGAGGAAGGTTGGGGGGACGGGGGAGTGAATGAAGAGGGGGAAGGAACTCAAAGGAAAGTATCCGGCACCACTGGGGGCGACTTTTGAGAATTCTCAAAAGTCACTCCATTGTATGGCCTCTGCTCCCGGCCACAGCACCACGGGGAGGCCACTATATCCGGCACCACCGGGGGCGACTTTTGAGAATTCTCAATTCTATCCGGCACTCCATTATATCCGGCACCACGGGGGGCTGCAGTAAGATGGCCTCTGCTCCCGCCTCCAGCTGATGCATGTGTGTGTGGATGGGATGGGACAAGGGGTGGGGGGAGGAAGAGCGGAAATGAGTGGGCAAGGAAATGAGAGGGTATATGAGTGTGTGCGTGCGCACGTGCGTGTGTGTGACATGATGGACATGTGCTGTAGTGTGCGGTGAGACTCGCTCACTTGTACCTTTGGAAAGGCACTTTCTCAAGCAGTCCTGCATTGATGCACTTTCTCTCTCTAAGAAGACAGTTACGACTGCAGAAGTACTTGCATTTATTGATGGATATTATCCACCAACAAGGAAAAGAAAACAAAAGAAAAGAAGGAGAAAAAAAATCGCTCGTACCTACTGCTCCAGCCAGTCCACCGAGGCAACGAGGGGGTTCTCTACAGCCCACAACTTTTGAGTCGACTCTTGCGGCGACTTCTAGTGTGCGCTCAGACTCGCTCACTCATTCGTACCTTCTGCTCCAGCCAGTCCACCGAGGCAACGAGGGGGTTCTCTACAGCCCACATCTTTTGAGTCGACTCTTGCGGCGACTTCTAGTGTGCGCTCAGACTCGCTCACTCATTCGTACCTTCTGCTCCAGCCAGTCCACCGAGGCAACGAGGGGGTTCTCTACAGCCCACAACTTTTGAGTCGACTCTTGCGGCGACTTCTAGTGTGCGCTCAGACTCGCTCACTCATTCGTACCTTCTGCTCCAGCCAGTCCACCGAGGCAACGAGGGGGTTCTCTACAGCCCACAACTTTTGAGTCGACTCTTGCGGCGACTTCTAGTGTGCGCTCAGACTCGCTCACTCATTCGTACCTTCTGCTCCAGCCAGTCCACCGAGGCAACGAGGGGGTTCTCTACAGCCCACAACTTTTGAGTCGACTCTTGCGGCGACTTCTAGTGTGCGCTCAGACTCGCTCACTCATTCGTACCTTCTGCTCCAGCCAGTCCACCGAGGCAACGAGGGGGTTCTCTACAGCCCACAACTTTTGAGTCGACTCTTGCGGCGACTTCTAGTGTGCGCTCAGACTCGCTCACTCATTCGTACCTTCTGCTCCAGCCAGTCCACCGAGGCAACGAGGGGGTTCTCTACAGCCCACAACTTTTGAGTCGACTCTTGCGGCGACTTCTAGTGTGCGCTCAGACTCGCTCACTCATTCGTACCTTCTGCTCCAGCCAGTCCACCGAAGCAACGAGGGGGTTCTCTACAGCCCACAACTTTTGAGTCGACTCGTGAGGTGACTAGTAACTTTTTAGCTGACTCAAAAGGCCACCTGTAGTGTGTGTGTGTGTGTGGTGGGACTCTGTCACTCAGCCTTACCTTTTGCTCCAGTCGGTCCACCGAGGCAACGAGGGGGTTCTCTACAGCCCACAACTGAACGCCTTGGGAGGGGGAAGGGCACAGGAGTGCGGGTTGGGAAGGATGGGAGGGCAGCAGGAGGGGGAGACGGTCTGGGTGAGAACCACAGTGCCATGTAAATCTGGGTAGAATCAGCTCACGGATTTTAGCCATGTCAAAGTCAAGTTTTGAGTCGACTCAAAACATGGGAGGGCAGGAGAGGGAGGGAGGGGGAGGCGGTCTGAGCGAGAACCGCAGGGCAAAAATCAGCTCATGCCTTTTCTGAGGCTCCTCAAAAATGGGTTTCGGCGGACTTAACTCAAAACGTCCTCACACTCAAAGAGTCGCACATTCACAGAGTATGACAATACGATACCCACCTCCCTTGCACTCACAGCGGCTGCCTTTGCACTCAATGTAAGTCAAAGTCTGCCGCCCTTGCCCTCACAGCAAAAGACAATATCCACCGCCCAAAAAACCCACACCATGCGCATGCAGCTCCACACTCAAAACTCACAATTCACGCGACGAAATGCAATGCCGCACTTACATTGCGGGATTCGCCCTGCCGCCCTCAGCCTGTGGGCGTCTCGCAGCATGTGGAGCGAGTTGGTGGGCATGAGTCGACTCACGAGTGGCCAGGAGCGCATGGGGTGGGCTATGGGGATTGGGATGAGTGCGGGGGTGGGGGGCTACTGAGGGGTGGGTTGTGGAGTCAATCGGATCCAGACATGCTGGGGGGGGAATGGAAGGATTGTATGGGTTGGGACAGTGGCAGCAGCAGCAGCAGCAGCAGCAGCAGCAGCAGCATTAAAGGCAGGTACACGCACCTCCTGACAGCAGCAGAAGAGCACCTGGAGAGCTGCCCTCCCTGCCCCCTGCCACCTGAACCGCCTTCTCCACCATCTGCTGCCTCACCGCCTCTGCTGTTTTCACCTGAGCCGCCACCGTCAGCACCTGGGCAACCGCCTGAGCCGCAACAGAGCTGTCTGGAGCTGCCAGAGTGGCTTGGCTACCCGTTGTGCTGCCTGTAACAGACTGGTTACCAGCCCTGGCAGTTAAGGGTATCTTCTGACTTTGAGTTGATTTATCGAGAGAACTTGCATTGAAAGTGAGGGAAGAGACAGGAGGATTGGGAAGGGACGAAGTAGGGTGGGGAACGGAGGAGGTAGGAGGGGGAGAGGAGGAGGAGGAGGAGGAGGAGGAGGAGGAGGAGGAGGAGGAGGAGGAGGAGGAGGAGGAGGAGGAGGAGGAGGAGGAGGAGGAGGAGGGGGGGAGTGGAAGCAGAGAGAGAGGCAGCTGCAAGAAATCTCTGAAGCCGGCCGGCGCAGGCAGGTCCGGAAGCACTGTGGCTCGGAACCTGCCCGAAGCTAGGACGTCCTTGGCCTGGGCCTGCCACGTGGCAAGGGAGAGGTGGCAATGATGACGTCATGTCATAACGGGCTTTAAATGGCAAATAGGCAGAGAAGAGGTGCAAATGGGCATCGTTACCGTTACCGTTACCGTTACTGTGACTGTTACCTGTTTGCCTTCCGTCACTTCCAGCGTCAGCATAAACCGCTGGTCGTCAAACAAGCCGTCAGCGCCTGCTGCAGCGCGTGCTAGAGGCGCTCGAGCAGACTTTCCTGGACCCTTACTCTGCCCTGACGCCAGGAAACCACCAGCGGAAAACGAGCGCGCGGGAAGCGTAAACGCGGAATGGAACCTCCGTGTGTGGCGGAAGGATTGGGCCAATGCCATTCCGCTGGTCCTTGGCTGTCCAGCGGATGCTCCGCTATAGACTGTTCCGCTGCAATCCAGCCACAGCATTCTTCTAAGAGACAAAACCAGCACAAAAAAAAAAAAAAAAAACTAGCTCTCAAAAGTCGCGTCTGTATTGTTGCACCTCTAACAGTGACATCAGAGGAGTTTCCAGCGCAGACTTCTTAGGAACCTCTGACAGTCAGTAACCTACTGGCGGATTTGCAATTCGCTGGTTTCAAATCGTGGCAACTTCAGCCTAATTGCAAATTCCTAGCTACGCCTGCCGCAACTTCCGCCCAAACTGCTAGTACAAGAGGCAAGCTGAACAAACCCACGTATTGCGTGCTTCGTTGTTGCACAACAAAATGGTCCAAGGAGCAAAATTGTACCCAAAATGCTTCTTTTCGGAGATAGGATCAAGGCAGGCAGCACCATTGCAGTTCGAAATGTTATATCTTCCAAGAAAGCAGTACACCGTGCCGCTACATTTTTTTGTGAATTATGCTGGATTTTTTCTCTTTTGCAATAAAATTACTGCCCTAAAAACCCCAGTGGCGCTATCGAGTAAGGAAGTTCCGCGGGGAACTACGGTGAAATCGAGGGTATTTACCAAAACAATGGTCCTTTTTTTTATAGCAAGTCACAATGAACGCATGTCTAAACTCGTGGGTTAGCTGATGGGCCGAATTACAACCACTGGACACCTGTAAGGTAGAGGGATAGACAGAGGTAGGGAAGGAGGGGGGTAGAAAGTGGAAGAAGAGGGGGAGGTGATCAAGGGAAGGTGAATGCCTAGGAGGAAAGGCTTGAGTAGGAGATCTGAGTGGTGGGGCGAGGGAACGAGAACTGACACTGGAAGAAAACGAATGCAAGAGAGAGAAAGAAAGCAACGAAAGGGGCGGGAGGGAGGATGGGGGGGAGAAGAAGGAAGTGCGGGTGATGGCCCTGCAAAACGAGCAGAGGGCGGCCACAACACACCTTGTCAGGGAGGAGAGAAGGGGCAGATGCACACATACAGGCCAAGCACACAGAAGGGGCAGAAGGGGACGGACAGAGGCGGAAGAGCACACACAGAAAGGAAGGCACACACACAAGAGGCAGCAGAAGGACACACGAGGGGCGGAAGCACACACGGGGGGGGGAAGCACGGCACAAGCCCCACTGACCGAGCGTATTTGGAGCAGTAGTCGCTGACGGAGCCAAGGAGCTTTTGAGACGCCTCAAAAGTCGGAAGCACACAGGCGAGGGGGGGGTTGGAATGGAAGCACATTGCAACGTTCAACTGAAGCACAGCCTACAGCTCCCACTGACCGAGCGTATTTGGAGCAGTAGTCACTGACGGAGCCGAGGAAGCTTCTCTTGACGGGCCCGTGGCCATGGCTGCCGATGACCAGCATGCTCGCCTCATTCTCCTCACACGCCTGGCAGATCGCCTCCCTCGCCTCGCCCTGATACACCTTGGTCACGCTCGTCACCTGTCATCCACCCACACAACACATGCAGACGTCTCAAAGCACTTCTCAAAACAACGCCTCAAACTTCTCCTCGCACGCCTGGCATATCGCCTCCCTCGCCTCGCCCTGATACACCTTCATCGTCACACTTGTCGCCTGACACCCACACGAGACACACTTGTTTTTTGTTCTGATTCCTTTCTTTCCTTCCAATCTCTGGAGATTAGGTCAAGATGTTTGGAAGAACTTGGGGTGGTCGTTTCCAATGCCGGTGTGGTCGTCACGTCAGCTCTAATTATGTGCTTGCGTCGTAATAAAACGCCCCCAGCCCGTTACTAACCCAGCCCACCCCGTTGATAACCCAGCCAGCACCCGTTTTGCAAGAAGCCCATCCTGTAAAAAGGAGGCCTACCTGGTTCTCCTTGCAGATGGCTTCGGCCCTCTCAGCGACGCTCTTCGTCTCCTGCTCCTTGTCGTCCTCCACGCTCAGCTCGTTGTCCTCGGGAATCGCGAATGCTGGCGGAGTAAAAAACAGGAGAAAATAACCCCCAAGTGGAAGTAACACGCAATAACTTCTAAGACGTCTAGAATAGGGGAGAAAAGCGCCCGGCGTGAAAGTAATGTGAGAACCATGGCAACGCAAGGAACTGCGGGATAATGCGGAATAAGAAAAAAGGTACGCGTTATGTACCTCCTGCGCTACTGGTAATGGGCGTCTCCACTGTGACGAGTATCGTCTTATCGGCGTCCTTTCGGATAATGTGGTCAAACGCCCTGCGGAACAATGTGCGGGAGAAAAAGCCCGCAGCCGGTGTGAGCGACTGACGTTTCCGGCACGTGGGCGTGCGCTAGGGGAGAAACCCGTTTGTGCCATAGGAAAGCGCGCAGCTCGCGAAATCGGTTTCAAGGCGTAGAGCAAAAAAGAAAATGAATAGTAATATTAAAAAGGCGAAAGTGGTAGGCAGCAGGCATACCACTGCAAGGCGTAGAAGCTTTGCTCGGACTCGTCAACTGCGACTACGATGTTGCGACCCGCGACCTCCGTTGTCATCGTCGAATAAGCACTGAGACAAACGCGTATGCGAAACAATGCGCTAACACTAGCTCGAGGTCGAATGGACTACTTAGTACGCGTTTAGAGAGGCAACCAGAGCACGCCCTTAAAACGAACACTAGTTAGTAAACGCAAACCTCGCGACAATGTCTAGGAGGCAGCGGAAAAGGAAATACTAAGACGCCCAAGAGATCGCTGACTGGTCTTGCGGGATTGCTGACGAGTATGAGAAATTGCTGACAAGGACTAACAAATTAGGCTGACTCGATTTCTAGGTTCCAGTGCTTGGCAGAGGAATTCCACAAAAAATCAGTCCCCTTGAGAAGCTCTGCGAAGAAAACAGCATGTCCAAATAGTTACCCGATAGTGCGAACTTTATCTGGCTATGAAACACTCTTTCGCCCTTCGCAAATGGGACACTGAGCTGAATGCCCGCACACCCACATCACCCCTACCCAGTTTAGGATTTCGTACTTCACGACGCTCGCAAAAGCTATTGCTCCGCGAAGGTCGCAGATTCGCCTTATCCAAACCGTCCCAGATTGTCCTGATTTCATCACAGCAGAGCTCTAGGGACGTCCACGTCACGTTCCCACATGACCGTACACTACTAGCTCCTTCTGCTAGTGTACTCCTGGCCTGACCAGCTCACTCAATTGTTCAGCAAAATTCCACTAGCGAGCAACGGTTATCGCTCAGGGCGACGTCCGTCAGGAGTGTAGGCCGACGACAGCAGTCAGCAACAGTGCTTGTTGAACCGATTGGCTCGCGTAGGCCTCTCGAGTAGGTTCAGCAATGCAGTCCTTAGCCGTTTCTTGCAGCTCGTCAGCCATGCTTGCGGGAGCTAACTCCCTGCAATCAGCGTCGTCGTCGTCGTCGTCGTCGCTGATTCAACGAGCGCCAGCTGGGGCTCGCAGCATTTCATTCGCGAGGCCCGGGCGACTGGGGAGTGGACTCGGGCGAAGGAGAGTGGTGCTGGTGACGGCAGTCACAGGCGGGGCGAAGGGGTTCGGCAAGGCGGACGACGGCAAGAGCCGGGTGCGATGCGACGCGTTGCTTCTGAGAATTCTCAGAAACGACTTCAACGCATTGATAAAAACTTCCTCTATGTTGAACGTGCTCAACGCATTGTTGGAATTTTTTTAGGATAGGACAAATTCGAGGTTCAGGGGGACACAGGCATAAGATTTTCGAGGGTCTGCTGCTGATGACCATTCATGCATCATTGATGAGAGACTAAGGACCATTCATGCATGACTGACCATGCAGTGATGACATGCAAGGACATTGTGTGCCATGCCATCATGTGCAGCGTCACGACATGCCATGGCACGCATTTCTCGCTGCTATGTGCTGTGCTGCTTGTGCAGTGCTGTCGCATGGCCTCTCGCGTTCATATCGTGGAACCTCACACGTGGCATTGCACATACCTTATTGTACCACCGCACATACATACCCGAACACGGAATCTCACATGCCGTATCTTGACTTCTCACACGGCATATCATCTCATTTTTACCCCACGTGCCATTCCACAATGCATCTTCAGAAGCCCAGTCCCAACAAAGGCAGTGGACCCCCCAAGCAAGATGCGGCCATCCCAGGCGTCAATGAAAACGGTAACCTCCAGCCCACCTAATCACAATGACTTTTTTGCCCTCAGTCAAACCCTAGTCAGAAAACGGTGGTTCAAGCTGTAAAGTTTCAACAATCAAGCTAAGCAACCCGGTGCATTTTCTCTGTGCCATGCCGTGCCATGCCATGCCATGCCATGCCATGCAGCGCCATGCCGTGCCGTGCCATGCCATGCCGTGCCATGCCTGCACGGCCAGAGTGGGCGCCAGATGTGTCGGCAGCGCAAGACGCGTCTCAAAGGCTCTTCTTCACCAAAGTCAACCCCCATATTCCCACTATACACACCTCTCCCCCCGCCCCCTCATCACTTCCTGCACGGCCAGAGTGGGTGCCCGATGTGTCGGCGGCGCAAGAGGTGTCTCAGAGGCCCTCCCGTGCTGCCTCGGATGACGACCGGCTGTTTGAGGAGCGCCTGAGGGAAGTGCGCCGGTGAGCAGATGGGTGGGGTAGGAGGAAAGGGTGTGTGGGGGAGGAGTGTGAGATGGGCGGGCGGGTCGTGTGGAAAGCCGTTCTCACAGGGCGCCCTCCCGTGCTGCCTCGGACGATGACCGGCTGTTTGAAGAGCGCCTGAGGGAAGTGCGCCGGTGAGTAGATGGGTGGGGTGGGGGAAGAGTGAATGGGGGCGCGGGTGTTGGGAGGAAGGGTGGGTGTCGTGTCTGAAGGGTGTGGGAGGGCCGGGGTCATGGCTTTTGTAGAAAGTGTTGCTCTGGCCGCCCATGCTGCCCAAGAGTGGGATGAGATGAGAAGGGTGCTGGTGTTGCTTGTCTGAGCTCAGACAATGCCCGCCTCTGGGGGAAGTGAGATGTTGAGTTGATGAGTAACTGTGGGAGGAGAAACTGTGGGAGGAGAAACTGTGGGAGGAGACAGGATTCAGAGGGAGGAAAGGGGGTTTGTGCATGTGTTAACTTAGGGATTTGTGAGGATGCAGGCCGCTCTGGCCTCTCTTAGGGGCACCTTTACCCACTCTCCCTGCCTCTTTCCCCCAGCCGGACTCTTTGCCTTGGCCTCTCTCCCCCTGCCACTCCCTCCCTCGTCACTCCCTGCCTGGTTTTTACCTTTCTTGTTCTCCGGCAAGCAGAGGGGATGAAGCAGGGGGCACTGGTGCAAAGCACAGCGTGTTATGAGGTTATCTTTGAGATGTCTCAAAAACACTCCCTGCCTGGTCTTTACCTTTCTTGTTCTCTGGCAGGCAGAGGGGATGAAGCAGGCTGTAGTGGTGCAAAGCACAGCAGCCATAGACTATGACAACCCGCAGACAGACAGACAGACGCATGGCCGCACACGCACTCTCTCTGTTCCCTGCACTGCCTTTCCCCGGTCTCTACCTTCCCATACTCAGGCAAGCGGAAGAGAAGAAGCGGGCGAAAGCAGTGCAAAGCACAGCAGCCATAGACTACGACAACCCGCAGACAGAGCCCCTGGTGGACACCGCTGCTCTCACCAAGGACCTCCCCACTAAGGTGAGTCGCGCTGTGCTGCTGCAGTGGCATGGTCAGAGGACAGGTGAGCAGCATGGTCAGAGGATGCATGGTCAGAGGATGCATGCACTGCAGGGGCTCAGGAGCAGCAGGGGCAGGTGAGCAGCACAGCAGCCATAGACTACGACAACCCGCAGACAGAGCCGCTGGTGGACACCGCTGCTCTCACCAAGGACCTTCCCACTAAGGTGAGTCGCGCTGTGCTGCTGCTTGGCACGAAGCAGTGGAGCAAGCTTTTGGGCGTCATTCTTGGCGTTGTTCCGGATGATGGTGAACGCATTGCAGTGCAGACAGAGCCCCTGGTGGACATGGCTGCTCTCACCAAGGACCTCCTCTTAGCTTAGGTGTGCTTGTGTCAAAGAGACAACTGATTTCACTCTGATCATCCCCCCCCCTCGGTTCCCTCCCCTGTGTGCGTGGCAGATCTGTCACCGAATATGCACGGTTGTGCATATAAGGTGCCAGTTTTGCTGCGGTGTAGTTCTAAGTGTAGTAGTACTGTATGTGAAGATTTGGGGTGTAGGTAGTTGGGGACCAGGGAGAGTGTCGCGAAGTTGGTAGGAGAGCTCCGAGGAGTGCAATCCAAGGAACCAATGTGGATGCACCAACCCAGGCTCGAGGCGCACATTGAGAAATGCACGCTTCGAGCCTGGGCCAGGTAAATTCACTCTCACACACACACTCGTTGCTTTCCGCTTGTTATCCTTTCGTATAGTGGAACGTTGTTGCCTTAATCTTGCAGCTAGGTGACACACCACTCAGGGAGGACCCTTGGGGTGGGAGATTCGTCTCTTTCATAACAAGCGGAAAGGGTGCGCGCGTGCAAGGATGGACGGTTTTGAGCTGCGTTATGGCAGGACTTATGGTCGTCGCGAGGAGGATCGCTCGCGGCGCGGATACTCGCACGAGTGTGGGCGATCACTGGAGAGGTCGCCGCGGAGGCCTGCCTTTCGCGCGGATCAGGTGCCTCTCTGGCCCGAACGCCGAGAGGGCGGATCTGCTCGAGAAGGAGCAGGCGGATCGGAATCGGTCATGGCGGGGAGTGATCCGTGGCGGACGGATCCGCGCCACGGAGCAGGTGGCGATCTTGGGTATCGCCAAGAGACGGGAGCGTACCGCTCGCCGGAAGCAAGCTATCGTCGTCGCGAAGATCGGAGTCGCGGGCGAGGCTTGGAGGGACTATTTTCGGGCCGAGAGGGAGACCTCAACGCCGGCGGAGAAGGAGAGGACGACGCGGCGGATACCTCGCAGGAGTCTGAGCGCGATGACGTGGCAGAGGCCGGCGACGAAGTCCGGAAGGAGGACGCAGGCGGGCAGCGCGACATGCCCGTGGAAGCAACGGAGGCAGACCCTGCGCCAGGCGAGGCGGAAAAGGCAGGCGAAGGGGAGACGGGCGGAACTGGTGGCGGACGAAGCGCGCGAAGGGAGGCGCACGTTTCCGGGCAGCAGGCGTATGGCGGGGAGCAGGGTTGCGACGCGCCGCACTCGCCAGATCCGCGTCAGCAGCATGACGGAAAGCGGGGAAGCGGTCCGCGCGCGCCAGATCTGCACCCGCATCGTGACGAGAGGCGAGGAGACGGATCGCGTTCGCCTGATCCGCGTCAGCATCGTGACGGAAGGCGGGGAGGCGGGTCGCGCTCGCCTGATCCACGTCAGCATCGTGACGGAAGGCGGGGAAGCGAATCGCGTTCGCCTGATCCGCGTCAGCATCGTGACGGAAGACGGGGAGGCGGATCGCGCTCGCCGGATCCACGTCAGCATCGGGGCGGGAAGCGGGGAAGCGGGTCGCGCTCCTCGGATCCGTGGAGATATCGCAGCGGTAGGCGGGGAGGCGGGTCGCGCTCGCCGAATTCGTATCAGCCGCATCAGCGGGAAGAGGAGGGGCGCCAGCGGGACTATCGTCGCGGGCAGGAAGGAAGGAGAGATTCGCGATCCCTGACACCTGAGCCGCGCTGGCAGCGCCGAGGACCAGAGGAAGAATGGGCGCGTGCGTGTCACTCACCAGATCGGCGAGGAAAGATGGGTGGGGAGGAAAGGCGATGGGAAGCAAGGCAGGATCAGCAGAGAAGCAGGGGTGTGGGCAGTGGTCTGGCGAATAGCATGGAACGCGCCAGAGAAGCAAGAAAGGGAATTGAGCGGGCCAGAGGAGGGGGGACGTCAGGAAGGCAGGAAAAAGGGGCAAGCGAGTCATGGGGCGAGGGGCGTGGAAGTGCAGCGATGGTTGCACGGGTGGAAGTGCCGACGCGGTTCTCTGGAGACCAGCGCGTGGGGCCGACGCTGAAGAATTACTTGATGCAAGTGGGGAACGTGAGATACAGGTGCGAAAGGAGTGGCATGGATGCAGTGGACTTCTTCCTGAGTCTGCCGAACACACTGGAAGGGGAGGCAGAGACACTGTACAGAATGAGGATGGATGAGCTGCTAGAGAGGGCGGGCAGGTACGGGGAAGACCCCACGGAGGCATTTCTGAAGCGGCTGCAGCGGCAGTTTCCTGGCCATACCGCAGAGAAGATGAGAGAATTCCAGGACTTCAGGAAGGGGAGGAGTGAGTCCTTACTCACTTATTACAACCGGCTGATTAACTTGGCAGAGGACTTGACTTGTGAGGACATGGGCCTCCTAGTCAGTAAATTCTTGGATGGGTTGGACAGCTCCATGGGAAATGGGTTGCGCATGAAGGTGTATGAGCTGGGGGCAGACACGACGCTGGATGAGGTCTTCGAGTTGGCAGAGAAGATGGAGCTCGCACAGAGAAAATATGAAGCATACAGGCCCAGGACTACGGAAAGAAGCCGGGGGCCAACCTGGGCAGCAGCGATCATGCCTGAAGAGAGGGACAGGGCAGCGGGGCGAGGAGAGGGCAGGCCAGAAACTCGGACATGCCACCGATGCGGACACCCGGGACACCTTCGCAGGGACTGCAAAAACTGTGACTGTTGCGGGAAGCCAGGGCACCGGCGGCGGGAGTGCCCTGAAGCGCCGAAGTGTGAGGTCTGTGGCAAGGGAGGACACGTGGCAAAGGACTGCTACCAGAAGGATGGAGCGGCGAAGAAGAAGCTGGAGGAACAGGAGAAGCAGATTAGTCGGCTGCAGGCTCAGTTACAGCCATTAGGACCGCGACGAGAGGCTGAAGCGGGAATGTATGCCAGGGACGAGGAGGAAGAGGATGTAGAACAAGAGGAGCGAGCTGCACTAATGGCTTGGGGAGGAAGGGAAGATGACAGAGAAGAGGAAGAAGAGGATGTGGAACGGGAGGGGCAACCAACCTTCATGGCGTAGAGGGGAAGAGAGGAGATGGGGCTGCGAAGCGGAGGGAAGGATACTAGAAGAGAATATGTGAAGAAGGAACGAGAAAAGGGGCAGAAGCCAGAGGAGAAGGAGGAGAAGGGTACAGCTGCACGTCACCCGCAGGAGAGATTGGCATGCCAGACCTCAGTCCTGCTGATACAGAATGGAGCACTGACCGTGGAAGGGGAGAAGGCAAAAACTGCCATTATAGACACAGGGGCACAGAGCGTCATACTGGGGAAAAGGATGGCTGAGAAACTGGGTTTGGGGGCGCCGGACAGACACGTAGTGAAGGGGATGTTGGTGATGACAGCAGAGGGGGGAGAATCAAAGTGGATGTCGTGCACCAGGACTCCAATAGAGCTGACGGTGCTGCAAGGAGAAAGACATGAGACGCAAGTCAGAATCAGGTGCGGGATTTCGGAGTCAGAGGATTTCGACGTGTTGGTGGGCACGGAGATGATATTCGCATTAGGCATGACGATATGCTTTTGGAAGGAAAGTGTGGAATTCAGAACCAAGTGGTGGAGGAAGGGGGAGCCGCTAGGCCAGCTGCCGGTGCAATTCGTGAAGACAGAGCCGAAGAGGGCCTACCGCGCGGATCAGAAGGAAATAACAGCGAAGCAGGGGGCACAAGAGAGTGCAGATGGCGAGGGAGAAGAAGTGGACCAGAGGATGAGGTTCATGGACAAGCCGCGCCAACAGACAGACTGGCAGCAGCCCATCCGACTAGTGGAGCTGTTTGGGGGAATAGGGGCAGGGTTGGCAGCAGTGGTAAGGAACGGCATAGCTGTGAAGCAGTGGATATACGTGTAGCAGGCACCAGAGGTGAGGAAAATGGCAGAACATCATGCCTGGAAGCTGCAGGAGGAATTTCCAGAGCTGCTGAAAGCGGAAGTGATCAGGGCGGCAATGAGCAGAGGCGTACATGACGCAAGGGCAATAACTGAAGCCGAAGTAGCAAGCTGGGGGCATGTGGACCTGTTAGTGGCAGGGTGGGAGTGTCAAGGTGTGTCATGGGCGGGGAAGGGGAGGGGGTGACCAGGACCCCAGGACCAAACTGATGGAAGACTTGTTCAGGATCATGGAGTGGCTACAGGATAGGCAGGGCCGGCTGGCGTACCTGCTAGAACACCTGGATATGGAAGGAGATGTTCGGGAACCTGTGAGGAGGGTGAGAGAGAGGGTGAAGAGACAAGTGGGCAAAGGAGTTAGCAGCGACGCGGTGCGGATGGGAGCATTCGCCCACCGACTCAGGACGTACTGGCTGAATGTTATGCTAGCGGAAGAACTGCAGAAAGAGATATAGGGAGTGGAGAGGGCAGGAGGACGGAAGGTGAGCGACATACTGGAACCGGGAAGGACTCCGGCACCAGTCAGCAAGAGAAGTTACAGCAAGCATTATCCATGCAATCAGGTGGGACAGGAGAGGCAAGCCCTGCCCACTCTGGTGTCGTATGAAGGGGCGGCAGGATACCGGATGGAGGGAGAGAAGCCGGGGCCAAGGCTGGTGTATGACCATAAGAAGGGACAGTGGGAGGAACCTACGGCCTTGGAGCGAGAACTAGCCATGGGATACGGGGAGAACATCACAGCAGCGCCTGGGGTAAGTGAGCAGGAGAGGAGGAGGGCAATGGGGAACGCCATGGATGGCTACATGATGCGGTGGATGGTGCAGCGGATGTGGAGGGAGACAGTGCTCCACTGGGGATGGAAGGAAGGAGAGGCAGGTGCAGCGACAGTGAGGCAAGGGGTTTGGGTCTGCCAGGAAAGGGAAAAGCCAGAGTGGAAGATAGGAGAGAACCTGAGTGAGGAGGGGAAGGAAGCAATGCGGGCACTGCTGGCCAAACACCGGAAGTGCTTCGCCTTCTCACTGCAGGAGTTGGGGAAGTGTACAGTCAAGGAAATGGCGCTGAAGCTGAGCAGCGATGAGCCGGTGTTCCACAGGAGAAGGAAGATGACACTGGCAGACGAGGAGATATGCAGGGAGAAGATAAGGGAGTTGCTAGAGGCAGGCTTGATCAGGAGGTCCGAGTCAGAGTACGCCACTCCAACGGTGGTAGCAGCGAGGAAGGACTTGACCGGAGAGGTGCTGAGCAGGCGGATGTGTGGGGATTACAGGGCGCTCAACAAAATTACAGTGCCGGACAGGTACCCCATGCCCATGGTCGAGGAAATCTTCGACAAATTAGCGGACGGGGTGTTCTTCACGACGTTAAACCTGCAACAGGGCTTCAATCAAATCAAGATCAGGGAAGAGGACGTGAGGAAAACAGCTTTTCACGGGCCGGATGGGCTGTACGAGTGGCTGTACATGCCTTTTGGCTTGAGGAATGCTTCAGCTGTGTTCCAGAGAGTCATGGATGCCGTGCTAAGGGGAGTGGAGTGTGCGGAGTGTTACATCGATGATGTGGTCATCTTCAGCGTGACCGAACAGCAGCACCTCAAGGACGTGGAGAGGACACTGAGCGCGATAGAAGGGGCGGGACTCACCTGCCACCCGAAGAAGTGCCGCTGGGGGGAGCAGACTGTGCAGTACCTGGGGTATGAGGTGCAGGGAAGACAGATAGGGATACAACAAGCAAAGGTGCAGGTGCTGGACAAGCTGAGGGAGCCGCGCGACAAGTCAGGACTACGGGCAGTCTTAGGCTTCCTGAGCTACTACAGACGCTTCGTGCCCAATTTCAGCAAAAGGGCGACAGTATTGAACGGAATGCTGCGGGAGGATAAGGCGTGGGAGTGGGGAGCAGAGCAGAAGACAGCATTGCAGGACTTGATGACTGCAGTGAAGACCGCAACAGTGCTGCAGCTGCCAGCGCCAGATAAATCCTTCACCCTCTACACCGATTGGAGCAGTCAAGGGATGGGGGCAGTCCTCTGTCAGGAGGTGGAGGGGACCGAGAAGGTGGTAGCTTATGCTAGCCGGAGCTGCAATGCGGCAGAGGCTCAGTACAGTTCATACATCGGCGAAGGGCTGGCAGCAGTGTGGGCGGTGGGGCACTTCAGGGTGTACTTACAGGGCAGAGAGTTCACCCTGGTCACTGACCATCAGCCGCTCACATGGCTGATGACCACACCAGGGCTGACGGGCAGGAACGCGAGGTGGGCAGTAAAGCTGCAGGAGTATGACTTTAAGATCCGGCACCGACCAGGAAAGACGCTGTTGCTCTTGGAATCCGGCAACGGTGGCAGCACGTCGACGGCCTTTCCCGCAACCCGCCACCACTGGAGCCTGAACAGACAGAGCAGGAGAAAGGGAGGACAGAGCAGGAACCCGCGCAGACACTGATCCTGCTGGCCAGAGAGGTGGAGTTGAACGGCGCTAAGGGGAGCAAGGGGCCAGCTGACATATGGCAAGATGAGAAGGCAATGGAATGGGTGAAGGGAGAGACCGAGGAGGACGAGAACGTGTCTGAGAGGGTGAGGGCGCGAGGACACCACTACAGGTGGTATCAACAACAGCTGCAGATCAAGACCGAAGATGGATGGAAGCTGGTGCCAGCGCCGCAGGAGCGAGAAGCAGTGATCAGAGAAGTGCACACTAAGCTGGGACATTTCGGGCATGAGAGGACTGTACATCTGCTGAAGACAGGCTGGTGGTGGGAAGGGATGCGCAGGCAGGTGAAGGAGTGGGTAGAGGGGTGTGAGGCGTGCCAGAGGAGCAAGGCCAACCTGACGCAGGCCAAGGCAGAGCTGCAGTCACTACCCATCTGTGGCTTAGGATTTCGATGGTCCCTGGACCTGGCGGGAGAGCTGCCGTTAAGCAGGAGCGGGAACCAGTACATAGTGCTCATGGTTGAGCATGTGAGTAAGTGGCTGGAGGTGCGAGCGATCACTAGCAAGAGCGCAAGACACATTGCAGCGGCTTTCAAGGCGCAGGTAGTGTGTCGCTTTGGAGCATGCGGAGAGGTTCTTACAGATCAGGGAACCGAGTTCCAGGGGGAGTTCAAGAAGTTGCTGTTGGAATCCGGCATCACTCACCGACGCACCTCCCGCTACCACCCGCAAAGTGACGGGCTGACTGAGCGCATAGTACAGACTATTAAGCGAGGGCTGCGTGCCTATGGGGAGCAGAGAAAGAGGGATTGGGATGATGAGCTGGACTGGATAGCGGCTGGGTACAGATTCGGGAAGCAGGCAGCACTGCGCGATCATTCACCCTACAGTCTGCTTTACGGACGGGAGCCGATCCTGCCAGTGGGGGCACCACGGGTTCTGACAGACACAGTGACAGCAGGCACAATCAAGAACTAGGTGGCCCTGTCTGATGTCCGGGCACGCTACATGCGCTTCATGATGCCGGCCGCGCTGGAGAACCTGCACACCGCGCAGCTGCGAGATGCCAGGAGATATGAGCAGAGGCAACGCAAGGGAGAGGGGAAAGTGCAGAGGGGCGTATGTGAAGGACAGGAAGTCTATCTGAAGAGAGCGAAGCAAGACACTCTGGATGTGGGATTGGGGACAGTGCGTTGGAGAGTCAAGGAGGTGCGCCCTTCAGGAGTGCTGGTACTGTAAAATGAGAAAGGGGCGCAGCTGAAGGAACACCAGACGAACACTGCTGTGATAAGGGGAACCGGGCCTCAGCGTACTGGTCCTGTGACCCGTGCTCAAGCTGCTCAAGCACGGGCACAGGAGGGGGCAGGGAGTGGCTGAGGCAGCACTAGAAGCCAAAGAGAGGAAGAGCATCAGATTGCAGGACAAATGACAGGCAGAGCTGTGTCACAAATGGCAGCCAGAGCTGTTTCTCCGACAGATCGGCATTGGCATAGCGGCCACGGTGTTTGCTGCCATGTTCGCCTGCAGACGCATTCTCCCCGCCCCCGCCCCCCTTTCGTATGTCAATCATTTCTCCTGCTGCCTCACGGTTTCATCCTTCCCCTTCTGATCCCTCCCCTGTGTATGTGGCATTGGCATTGGCATAGCGGCTACGGTGTTCGCAGCCATATTCGCCCTCGGAGGCATTCTCCCCGCGCCTGGCCCTCCTTTGTATGTCAATCTTTCTCCGGTTGCCTCATGATTACATGCTTTCTCTTCGCCCCCCCTTCCCCCTTAATGTGCTGTACGTGGCAGATTGGCATTGGCATAGCGGCTACGGTGTTTGCAGCCATCTTCGCCTTCGGAGACATTCTCCCCGCCCCTTCCTCCCCCCCGTATGTGACTATCAACCAAGAACCCCATTGGCTGGTTACGTGCATGTGTAGGGTTATGTGTCTGGCCTGGTCCTTGATGCTTAATAGAGGCATGTTTGTCCCCTAATTCTCAGTGTAAGACCTCCTGATGCTTCTGGGAAATCTCAGACCTCAGAAGCATCATGATAGCTAGACCCCCTCATTCTCAGTCTAAGACCTCCTCCTGGTGCTTCTGATAAATCTCAGACCTCAGAAGCATCATGAATCATGATAGCAAGAGGCAGCTCTATCCCCATTCTCAGTCAAAGACCTTCCACTGTGCTCCCAACCAACCATTTGCGAATCCTACCCACAGCATGTATTTCTCTTAATCTTCCTCCTAAAGTTGTCCAACCGCACTCAACCCATCCTAAATCCGCCGTGTTCCAGGCAGCAGCAGATGGTGGATGCGAGTGGCATTGCAGTGAACAAGATGAGCGACGCTCAGAGGAAGCAGCGAGAGGTGAGCCCTCCCTCCCTCCCTTGCTTCCCTTGCTTCCTGCTGCTCTCCCCCTTACATATACCCATGTATTGAGCCGACTCAAACACACGAGTGGTATTGCTGTCGGCAAGATGAGCGACGCTCAGAGGAAGCAGCGAGAGGTGAGCCCTCCCTCCCTCCCTTACTTCCCACCCCACCGCCCTCATGCATGCTGTGTTGCACATATTTACACCCCGCTTCAGCAGAGCACTCGCTCAGCAGTCGCTTTTCCCGTCTCGTCGTCTCTTTACCTCCACAAGTGCACTCGTTCAGCAGCCGTTTTTCCCACTCTTTCTCTCTCTGTCTGTCTCATCCCTCTCCTCCCCCCCTCCCAGCTGGTTTTTGAGACTTCTCAAAAACCAGTTCAGCAGCTGTTTTTCCCACTTCTTCTCTGTCTGTCCGTATCATCCTTCTCCTCCCTCCCTCCCTCCCACCCACCCACCCTTCCCCCAACCCTCGCTGCCTGCCGCGCTCCCTCTGTGCCCACTGACCCCCCCATGTATCCCGCTGGACCGGCTGGGGCAGTATGGGCAGGCGGCTCAAGCATCGCCTCTGCTTCCACTTCTCCCCCTGCTCTGCTCCCCCTATAAACCCCGCAGGACCAGCTGAAGGAGTTTGAGGGGCGGCTGGCCGCCACACCGGGCAACAGGGAGGCGCGGGAGGGGGCTGCAGTGCTGCATGCTGAGCTGGGGCAGTATGGGCAGGCGGCTCAAGTATCGCCCCTGCTTCCCCTGCTCCCCCTGCTATTCCCTCTCTCCACCCCCCCCATAAACCCCGCAGGACCAACTGAAGGAGTTTGAGGGGCGGCTGGCGGCCACACCAGACAACCGGGAGGCACTGGAGGGAGCTGCAGTGCTGCATGCGGAGCTGGGGCAGTATGGACAGGCGGCTCAACGCCTGGAGCAGCTCAGCCAGGCATGTTCATTGCAAAACCGCCTTCTTGGGTTGTAGGCTTGTAGCATTGTACGGGAAGGGGCAGCATGGGCAACAGGGAGGTGCTAGAGGGAGCAGGGGTACATGCTGTATGCGGAGCTAGGGTAGTACGGGCAGGCGGCTCAACGCCTGGAGCAGCTCAGCCAGGCATGTTCCCTACGTGTGTTTTTCTATTATTCCATGCTTGTTGCGTTCCTTCTGGTTCTGGAATGAGGGTGGGATGTGAAGGGTGAGGAGTGAGGGTGGAGCATGATACAGAGGGGCAGCAGGGGCAGCTGGGAAGCTCTTTCTGGCAATTTGAACTCGGGCACTAAGGGGCTCGTAAAAACACCTTGTATCTATTTTTGAGGCGCCTAAAAGTTTGATTCGAAGTCGGGCACTGGCACTAAGGCTCATAAAAGCATCTTGATTGCACGCTCGTGGACCAAGCATCTTGATACGCCTGTGCACTTGTGAGCTTACCATGCTCGCCTCCGCCTCGTCCCCATTGTGTTGCCTCTCAGGTCGCCCCGGAGGATCCCGAGGTGCAGCGCCTTCTGGGGGAGGTGCGATTTGAGCTGGGCGAGTATGGTGCCAGTGCTGCGGCTTACAGGCGGGCAATCAAGGTGAGACGCATGGCAGCAGGGGCGTATGTTTTTTGAGAATTCTCAAAAAACATAAGATGGGAGGTGCGATTCGAGCTGGGCGAGTATGGCGCCAGCGCTGCTGCCTACAAGCGGGCTGTCAGGGTGAGACGCATTGCTGCAAGGTGAGGAGGAGTACTGCAAGGTGAAGTTGCCGAATTCACAACACATCGCATCGCATCGCATCACATCACATCCCATCACATCCCATCACATCGCATCACATCACATCACATCGCATCGCATCGCATCGCATCGCATCGCATCGCATCGCATCACATCACATCACATCACGTCACGTCACATCACATCATATCACATCACGACACATCTGCCTCCCTCCCCTCCTCCCCTCGCCTCCCTCCCTCCCTCCCTTCCTCCCTCTTTGCCTCCCTCCCAACCTCCCCTCCTCCCCTCTCCTCCCATCCTCTCTTCCTCTTCTTCACTCCATCAGATATCGCCTGTGGAGTCTCTGGAGGTGCTGCAGGGGCTGACAGGCGCTCTGCTGGCTGACAACAAGCCGCAGCAGGTGCGTGTGGTGCTGTGCGGTGCGGTGCGGTGGTGTGGGATGGAATGGGATGGAAGGGTAGGGGATAGCATGGCATGGGATGGCATGGCATGGTATGGCATGGCATGGCATGTATGTAGCGTGGACAAACTATTTGGGGGGGGGGGGGGGGCATGTGCATTGTCAAGCAGGGCAGCTACAAGCAGCACGAACAGACACCGACAGACACCGACTGTTAGTGCTGCAGCGGCGTTGTCTCAAAGGTTTTCCTTCAAGGGTGTCCTCCCCACCTTCCCTCCGTCTTTCGTTCTCTCTTACTCAAAAGCCTTCGTCCCACCTTCCCTCTTCCCTACAGTTCCTCTCCCCCTCCCTTCCCCCTTCCTGCTTCACCCTGACTGGCATGCGCTGCTCACATGCGACAGCAGGGTAGCAGCAGCAGCAGCAGCAGGGGGTGGGAGGTTGGAAGTGGCGCTGCTGCTAGCGAAAACGTATGCTGTGCGACAAAGCATACCCTGCAGCCAATGCCGCTGCAGCATAGGCTGCAGCAGCACTTCAGAGACTCACATCTGCCTTTCAAAGTCTTCCTCTGAAATCCACCTTCTCTTCCATCCCCTTTTGAGTCGACTCAAAAGCATTGGCTGCAGCAGCACTCCAGAGACTCACATCTGCCTTCTAAAGTCTGCCTCTGAAATCCTTCCCCTCCCAACCCCTTTCCCTGCCACCACTCCCTCTATGCATCCCCCCACAGGCAGTGGACGAGCTGCTGGCAGCGCGGCAGCGGGTGGAAGCAGCAGCAGGGAAGGAGGCGGAGGAGCAGGAGGGGGTGGCGGATGAGGTGCAGGTGGCGCTGCTGCTGGGGAAGGCGTATGCGGCGTGGGGGCGGCCGGGGGATGCGGCTGCGGTGTACGACGGGCTCATTGCCTCACGCGCTGACGACTTCCGAGGCTACCTGGCCAAGGTCTGTTTGGTCTGTTCTGGTGTATGTATGTGTCTGGGTGTTCACACATGCATAGGTCTGTATGTGATGACTTTTTGAGTAAGGCAGCAACATCAAGGATGCCGCTGCGGTGTACGATGGGCTCATCGCCTCACGCCCGGACTACTTCCGAGGCTACCTTGCCAAGGTGTGTTTGGCATGGCTTTGTGGGTCAACACAACAATATCAAAAGGTCAACTGTCAACGCAACAGCATCAACAGTTGCTGCTGCGGTGTACGTCGGGCTCATTGCCTCGCGCCCGGACGACTTCCAAGGTTACCTCGCCAAGGTGTGTTTGACTTTACAGTCACCTTGGATGGCTTCCGAGACATGGCAATCCACATGTGCATTTGGTGACTTCTGAGTCGACTCTAAAGTCACACGGTGCTGCTGATTCAGTGTGTTGTCAGGCTTGTGTGCATGGCAACCGCAATCCACATGTGCATTGGGTGACTTTTGAGTCGACTCTAAAGTCACACGGTGCTGCTGATTCAGTGTGTTGTCAGGCTTGTGTGCATGGCAACCGCAATCCACATGTGCATTGGGTGACTTTTGAGTCGACTCTAAAGTCACACGGTGCTGCTGATTCAGTGTGTTGTCAGGCTTGTGTGCATGGCCACCGCAATCCACATGTGCATTGGGTGACTTTTGAGTCGACTCTAAAGTCACACGGTGCTGCTTATTCAGTGTGTTGTCAGGCTTGTGTGCATGGCAACCGCAACCCACATGTGCATTTGGTTCTGAAAGTTGAGCTTGAGCTATGCTAGGGTGGGGATCTTATGTGTGGTGGATTGATGATGGCTGCTAAGCCGTGCATCTGCCTCATCCTCCTTTGATTCCACTCAACAATCGGTGCGTAAAAGAACGGCTTTTGTGGCATCTTATCAACGGGACATGTTGGCATCTGCCTCAGCTTCTGAAATTGAAGACTAAACATCACTAAATCATGCTGCATTCTGTCAGGACAAGCCACGCCTTGTGTGTGTTTGCGCGTGTGGTGCGATTTGCAGGGCTTGTTTCTCAAGGATAATGGCAACCAAGCGGAGGCTGACAGAATGTTTCTTCAGGTGAGAGTGACTTTTCAGGAGTGAGATTGCCAGCGGAAATACCCAGATTTTCTGCCATGTGTGTTATTCCTTGCTGTAAGGCAGCTATTATAGATGGCACTGCAAATGCGAATCAGCTTGATATGCTTTCTGATGTGAAAGGTGGTGTTGCTCCACTCTCCTTTGTTTCTGTTGCAGGCGAGATACCTGGCACCAGACCAGGTGAAGGTGCTGGTGGATCGGCTGGCAAAAAGATGACACCATGATTGATGACACCCAGGTCTTTGTTTACTGTACGATACAAAGTCGTTTTCCACCAACAACATTGCCGTTGGCATAACCCTGAAAAGTCGAATTGCTGGGTGTGGGAAATAGTGTTGCAAGTCAGTAAAGTATGACCTTGAATATACACGTGTGTACTGGAATATAGTACAACTAGTAGTGCATAATGTCAGCTTTATGGATAAATGCAAGTCCAAAAGTCTGGTCGAGAGCCCAACTCTAATATAATCATTTATTGTGAAAGCTTGCTTAGTCCATCTTGCAAAGGCAGCGTGCTTCATTCCAAGTGGGTTTACAACGTTCTCGTACATCCATGATACACAATGGGGTGGGTGGTGGGAAAGTAAAACTAGAAAATTGGAAATGAAGAACGTGGGTGGAGCTACTGAACTCACGTTCCTCTTTTGTAGGCAAAAGAGGGGTGAGTAGCGTCGCACCGCTACCTTTGCGTTGCTGGCCACGTCCTCGCTTTCACAATACGAAATTTTAAAAAGTGTTACATATTTAAAAATTATAATATTGTGAAACCTTGCTTAGTCCATCTTGCAAAGGCAGCGTGCTTCATTCCAAGTGGGTCTTCTGAGGCAGGTGCATGTTGGGTCGGCGGTGCCTCTCCAACGATCGCTGGTGCCTGACGGGCGATGGGGCTGCTGAGGAGTCCTGCAGCTGGGTGGAGAGGTCGATGAGTTGGTCTTGGGCGATGGTGACGTATAGGTCCTTCGCGCCGTCGCTTCGCCATCGCCCCATCCGTTTGAAGAGCCGGTCGGGGATTCCTAAAGCTGCGGCTGCTGTTGCCGCGCCCTTGCGGAATGAGTGGGTTCCGATGTGCGTGGCGTCGAGCCCTGCCTTCTTGCAAGCCTCGAGGCACCAGCTTCGGATGGTTGGATATGAAGGCGATTTGTCGTGCGGCGAGGCTTGTGCCCTTTTGTTGAAAACCCGGATCAGTGGCCCGTGTGGCATGTCTGCAAGGCCTGCGATGCGAATGAACTCCCGAGTGCATCTCACTGCGCAGTAGGGCCCTGCCGACGCTGCGACTGGGATCCACGTGCCCTTGCCTTCTTGGTCCGTCTTGGAGTATGGGATCAGTAGCCACATGGCCGCCTCTTCGAGCTGAATGTCGTTCCATTGGAGGGAGATCAGGTCGGAGTAGCGCAGGGTTGCTGCGAACATCAAGAGAGGTATCAAGCCTTTCTGATATTCTGCCGGCACTGTTGATTCCAAGTAGGGTCGTGCCATGTTCTGCACTTGATGGAGTGACACAGGTTCCTTGGTTCTTGTCGGGCGGAGGCCATGCCGCTTAGCAAACTCTCGTACTTGCAGCGTGAACGGGCCGTTCGTTGGGGATGCCTCGCCGGTCATCCGATGGGCGAAGGCCACGGCGGAGCATGTGAGGTTGACCGCTGATATCGTTGCCTTGTTGTTCAGCGCGTGGACTAGATAGAGTGCCAGCGTGAGGTCCGTCGCTGGCAGGAATGCTAATTTGACTCGAGTGCAGAAGTTGCGAAATTTGAGCCAGTACGGCTGCTATGTCTCGATCGTGGACGGTGCGCGAACATCATTTATAACTTGCAACAGCTGGTTTTGAAGCTTGGTCAACAATCCTGAAAGATGTAACATTCGAATAGTAGTTACGTATTATATTTTACATGCAGGGCAATGATTGGGCTATGTGGTAGGCCGAGTCCGGAAAATGCTGTTGCGTGCGAGTCGGGTCAAAGGCACTGGCTTCCTTGAGCGAGGGGCAAGCATGCGACCACCTCTGGGGCCCATGTGTTTAGGGAGGGTTGTAGCAACGGCCACCATGCTGCTCCCGGCCACTTGGGGACGACGAGTGTCAACTCGGCTTGTGTGCGCCTGGCGTGAGCGAGTGTGGCCGGGATCAAGCCGGGGGGCGGAAAGCTGAAGCAGCGCTCGCCTTTCCACGAGATCGAGAAAGCATCAATTGCTGTGGCACTTGGGTGTGGTATCTTGGAGCAAAATCGTTGCAGCTTCTTGCTGTTGATGTTTGCGAAAAGGTCGATCGTGTGGGGACCCCATCGACGTTCCAGCAAAAGAAACCATGGCATATGCAGCGAGTAGTCGTCATGGTCTTGGATTTTAGACAATTCGTCCGCGTGGGCATTTAACTCCCTTGGGATCCATTCGATCGCCAGGCGTGTATGGTTCTTGAGGCAGAACTGTATGACTGCTTGACATGTCAGTGTCAGCCGAGGTTGGCTGGACCCCCCTTTTCGCAAAATAACAACGACGCCTTGGTTGTCCACGCGAACCAAAACGTGGCCGCTGGTGATGTGGGGCGCAAATGTCCGTAGCGTCCATAGGACCCCCTCAAGCTCCCGTTGAGTACTTGAGGTTGGGAGAAGCTCGCTCGGCATGCTGGCGCTTGCTTCATACGACGTGTCGGTAAACTTTGTAAGGGTGGCGCCCCAGCTGTGCGCGCTCGCGTCGACGTGGATCACAGCATCGAATTGATGGCTCAGGTGAAATGGGGCACCGTTAAATTGGTCGAAGTGCAGCCACCAGAAGATTAGCTCCTCAATGGCGGCCCGTGGCAGCCAGATCCTTGAGTGCCAAGATGCCGCAGCATCAATCAATTGTAGCAGCTCGTGACTGAAGGCGCGTGCCGTCGTGCCCAATGCGAGGGACATGGAGCTCAACATTCCGGTGATACGAGCGACTTGCCGAATTGGGACTTGTTGGCCACGTTGTCCTTTAGAGATGAGTGTGTTGAGCGTGTCTAGGAACTGCGCCCTCCGATCGGATCCGATGCTAAACATGCCGCGAGTCGTGTCAAGCTCTATCCCCAAAAACCGTGTTTGCTGGGCCGGCTGGAGGTGCGATTTCTTCTCGTTGATCACAAAACCTGCGGTCCCCAGGTCGCGTAAGACCTCTGTGCATGTCTTGCGTGCTTGCTCCGCGGAGTCACAGAGGAATAGCAAGACGTCGACGTATGGGACTACGCGCACGCCACACGCACGCCACCGCTTGGCCAATTGCTTGATCAACTGGGTGAAGACGAAAGGTGCTGTTGCCAGTCCAAACGGCAAAGCTCGGAAGCAGTAGAACTCGCCTTCGAATTGGAAGCCTAGGAACTCTAATATAATCATTTATCGTGAAACCTTATTAAAATATTTGGAAGTTGTGGTGTAGCAGTCAAGCTTCTGACATCGAAGTGCGATGAGATGGCGGCATTGACTAACTCTGACTGACTGGCCGTTTCTCTTCAGTCCTTACTGGATGCCGTTCGTCCGTGCCTAACGATACACCAGCCGTCGATTTCATCTGATTCACCTCCGTACTCCATGCCGCTTGCCGCGTCAATCCCGAATCCCGGATCCAATGGTGCCATGTCGTGACACGAAAGTCGTCTGTTGCAGCTCCGGGTCATCTCATCCCTCCACACAGTTTGCTCGCGGACCACATTCTTCCAGCGGCGCTCCATAGGAAAGTCTATTGAAGGGACAATTCGAAACGGCTTTGCCTCAATTGGCACATAAAACAAGATTACCCACCGAGTGAATGCATTGAACAGCCATACACCGCACCGCAGCATTCGAAGGAAATGCGGTTCGCACATGCGCGCCATTTCTTTGTTATCTGCGCCGCAGCGCCAGAAATTGAGATGCACTGTACAGCACAGTTTACCAAAGATGAACAGAACGAAGTTCGATTGGGCCGGGCGGGAGGTACGCTTGACTCCCCTCCCTCACCGCACTGCACTGCACCCGCTCTCCGCGTCCGGCTCGAATCTCTCGAGCAACTCCAATGCCAACGAAGGTTCTGTGTACCATCACGTGGCACCGTTCCTCACCGTTCCTCCATCATCTCTGGCTCACCCTGGCAGTGCACGCTGCAGCGAACCCGCCTACTTCGCAAATGCCAAATGCTGGCCTAGAAGTATCGTCTGCTTGACAGTGCTGGCGGCAACTTGGCTTGAAGTGCAACCTCCCCTTCCTCGCTCTCAACAATGCCTGCACTGCAGCAGCATACCTTCCTTGCTCGGTGGATTACTGTGCCCACCGTCCTCAGTCGTGCAATCGCATTTGATACGTATCCATCGACAGCGAATTCTCGAGGTCTCCAAGACCCATGAATTCCTCTAGATTCTCGGCATAGCTTTCACATTTCCCACATTCCCACCTTCTGCTCTCCTCGGTGTTTGGGGCCTCTACTTCCTTCTCGCCATCGTGGTCGAGCCGTGGCATCCGTTCTAACTCAACGCCTTGATTACTTGTCGCCTGCGCTTCGGAACTTGGGACAATTCGAACGCCTCGAACGCGGAAAATTTCCTTGTCCTCTGAGGACAAGAATCTTCCGCGCGGGCGTCTGTAGTTGTTTTTGAGGCGCCTCAGAAAGAGACGCTTCAACGCGGGAACTTCTGATTGGTCTCTCAACTACTGATTTCGCCTCCGACAACCAGCACGTATCACGTGGACGGAGAACAGGGCCGTTCTTTATGAGCTTTGCGGAATCTTCCGCGACGGGCCGCCGGGATGCCGCCGCGGAGGGTTCCTCTGCGTCGCGCCGCGCGGCAGCATCAATGCCAGCCGTTACAGCAGCAGAAGGGCCGCGGTGCAGCGATTCGGTTCCGGTTATCTCCGCTCACGAGCTCACGCGCCGCTTCGTCTTCACGGATCTGCTAGGGGAGGGAAAGTTCGGCCGCGTTTGGCGCTGCTTGGACCGCCACGGCCCCACCAGCGAGCCGCTCGCGTGCAAGCAGATCCTCACCGCTCATCTCACGGCGGAGCAACGGCTGGCGCTTCACCGCGAAATCGCCGTCTTGCGACGCCTGCAGGGCCACCCGAACGTGCTGCGACTGCATGCGATTTGCGACGGCGACGGTGGCGCATGGGACGGGTTTGGTTCGGAAAAAAAATCGTGTGGTTCGGACGCGTTTGGTTCGGGGTGGGAGGATGCGTCTGTCGCGATTCGGGAAATCGTTGCGCGGCCCGGTGTGTATCTCATTACGGAGCTGT